TATTTTTAAAAAAACAATGCAAAAACAAACATGTAAATAATACATTAAAAACAAAATTGTAATCCATTCAAATTATATTATATACGAAAATTTGGTTTTATAAATGAAAGTATAATAAATATGCTTTTGGTTTAGCTGGTAATATGCATTTTCTTAATTACTGACTAGAGAAGAGATATATAGCAGGACTCTTGCTGGAAGTATCACTACACCTCCTCTGCTAATTGTATTTTACAAACGACATTCAAAAATTAACCCTATGTGGAATGTTCGCCATCTAGGTAAGTAGAAGAAACCAATTTCACATTAATATTGTGCCTTTATCAAATTGGAACTAAATTGACTAATCAAACAGGTTGAGATTATAACAGTTTTTCCCCTCCTCCAGTATTAATTTTAGTGATTTTGGACAGAATATTGATGAAATGGGAACATGCAATTTTCTTTCCTTTGCCGTTGCCATTTCTCATGCATGCTCAGTCTCTTAAATGAAGTGTTTTTTAATGGTTTCTGTGGACTTAGATGGAACAGGCGAAGCCCTCACTGTATGAGTTGAAATTCACTAGTAAAATGTTTTTAATCCCCTGCAATAAAGTGATTGGTTTTCCTCTGGGAGAATATCATTCAAATTATTGTCTACTTAAGAAAATTGACCTTTTTAAAAAAATTATTTTTATTGAACATATTTCATCATTTTATATCACATTTACAATCTTTACAGCGCTTCAGCATCAATAATACTTATATACATAACAATTACATTCCTTTTTCTTTCTTTAACTATATACATTGCCTTTAAGTTTTAATGTACCTCTTAAATTACCTTTATATTACTTCTATTTTCTAACCGTTTGTACCATGTGTCCCAGACCAAATAGTATTCTGTTTCCCCCCCTTTCTTTTAATTCCAATGTTAGTGTGTCCATCTCCACACAGTCTAACACACTTTTTATCACCATTCCTTTGGAGGACGTGCTGTCCTGTTTCCAGTTTTGCATATACACAATCCTAGCCGCAGTTATGTGCAATATAATATATTGAATTTTCTTACTATAATTTCCTCTTATTATCCCTAGTAGAAATAATTCGTGTTTTAACTCAATTCGTTGACTCGTGATTTCCTCTAACCATTTTCTTATTTTAGTAAGTACTTATCCAGTACTTCTTGGCATCTGGACACGACAACCACATATGAAAATATGTACCTTGGTTATGTTTACATTTCCAGCATTCCGCAGATCTATTTGGAAACATTTTCACCAATTTAGCTGGGGGTAACTGCCAACGATAAAACATTTTATACAAATTTTCTTTATAGGCTGCCGACATTGTTAATTTAGTTTTTTCCCCATAATTTTCCCCAATATTCTAATTCAATATTATAACCGAAGTTCTTTGCCCAGGCTATCATGGTTTCTTTGACCATTTCTTCTCCCATTTTAAATGTCAGGAAATATATGCTTTTGTTATTATTTTTTTCTCCATCCCCTGTATTATTTTATCAAGCTCTTGTTGTTCCTTGTAAAAGCCATATTTTTCTAGATCCTTTTTATATCTTGCCCGAGTCTGCAGATACGGCCACCAATCTATATCTATTCCTTGTTGTTTTAACTCTCAGGTTTGTTTTTAACTTCCCTTGGGCATCTAATAGTTTTTTGTACCATAAAATTTTATCTAGATCTAGTACATTAGGGTATATCATTGCCTCCATAGTTGATAACCAACCTGGTATTTTAGTATGATTTTTCTTTATTTGCCCCCAAACATGTAGAAGAGCTTCTCTCACTTGGTGTCTCTAAAAATAGGTGTAGTAAGTATCAATAAGGTTTTTAGTTATCTTTGTCTTATCCTTATTTAAAGTCCTGCCACTTTGCGAAATTCTTATATTTCTCGTATTAAATTAATTCCTGTTTCTAAGGGCTCCTCTATTTTATTTATTTTTTTATTTTATTTTATTTTCAATTTATATACCGCCCTTCTCCCTGAGGACTCAGGGCGGTGTACAGCCAAAATAAGAACATAAAATACAAATATTAAAAAACAGTTAAAAATATATATAAATTTGGCCCAGAAATTAAGAAATCACAAACCAATTAAAACAATTTAAAAAATTCCTTCTTAAGCCAGCCCGGCTTGCTGGAAAAAATGGGTTTTAAGGGCACGACAGAAGGCACTGAGGTCATGGATTTTCCTTATCTCTGGGGGCAACTGATTCCAGAGGGTAGGAGCCCCCATAGAGGAGGCCCTCCCCCTGGGGGTCACCAGCCTACATTGTTTGGCTGATGGCACCCTGAGGAGGCCCTCTCTGTGGGAGCGCACGGGTCGATGGGAGGTCGTCGGTAGCAGCAGGCGGTCTCGCAGATAGCTAGGCCCTATGCCATGGAGTGCTTTAAAGGTGATGACCAACATTTAGTATAAAGAATACTAAATCATCCGCAGATGATTTTATATATTTTTATTTTTATTCCTTGTTCTTGTCTAATATGTGCTAATAATACCTCTAACAAGAGAATAAAAAGTAAAGGTGACAACAGACATCCCAGTCTTACACCTTTGGCTATACTAAATTTCCCTGTTTCCCCGTTTAGTATTACATTTGCCATTTGTACAGAGTATATTGCAGTTATCATCCCCACAAACTTTCCCCTGAAAGTCATGGTTTTTTAATTGCTGAATAAAAAACTGCCAATTTAACTTGTCAAACGCTTTTTGCGCGTCTAAAAATATCAATGCTGCTTGTTTCTCGGGGTGGGCTTCGTAGAATTCCAGGGCGTTCATTACCATTCTCGTATTATTTTTGAGTTGCCTTTTTGGTAGGAACCCTTTTTAGTCTGGGTGGATAATTTCATTTAATAGTTTTTTACCTCTTTCTGCAATTATGGTAGCAAATATTTTATAGTCTGCATTTAAAAGCGAAATAGGCCTCTAGTTTTTAATATGGTGGTCTGTGCCCTCCTTTAATATTAATGTAATATATGCCTCGGACCATGATTTCGGTAATTTGGCTTCTGCCAGTGCTTCATTATGTAATTCCAACATTAGCATCTCAGGTGGTTCTTGTATAGTTTTGTATAATTCCGCAGGGAGTTCATCAGGTCCCGGTGTTTTATTATTTTTTTGTTTTCTAACTGCCTCTTTTATTTCCATGAAGGTTATTTTATCATTCAACATTTTCCTTTTATCTTCCGATATTGTGGTTAGGCCCTTCTCCCTTAAGTACTGTTTTATACTCTCTTCTGATATATCTTCTTGACTGTAGAGGCCCTCAAAAACTTTTTGTGTAATTTTTTTTCTCTTCCATCCGATAGATTCCCGTTCTCATCTAATAATTGTTGTATTAGTTTTTCTCTCTTTTTTAAAAAAAGCCCTAGTTTATTTGTGTTTTCCAAAAAATTTTGTTTCGCTATTTTAAGATTTTGTGCCCTTATGTCATGAAAGTTATTTATAATCCCCTGAAAGTTGAGATGGAAAGGACAGAAAAAAAGGAGATGGATATTGTACCAAAAGATTTTGAAAGAAAAAGATTATGTTGAAATGATAGGAAAAGAACTGGAATTATTCCTCAAAGAAAATAAGAAAGAACGTTGCAAAATTTGTGGGACACCACTAAAGTTCAAGGATTAACGATAGTGTATGTAGCTCAAAGAAACAAGGAAAAGAAACAACAAACTTTGCTTCAGGAAGAACTTAAATACTACAAAAAGAACCTCAGAATGACATAATCAAAGGAGATAGGGCTTTAGTTAAACAGAAAATTGACCTTTTTAAACAGTGTACTTGAAACTTATGCGGTATTTCAATATGCATTTAGTGATTAGGACTCTAAAATAAACTGTCGAATTTTGAGGGTAGTGAGCAGTGACAAAGAAACAAAGTATTTCTGATGAAATTTTCAATGTCTGAACCTATCAAATGGTTAATTCCACCTGTGGTTGAAAACTGCAGAAACTTCTGCCTCATAATTTCTTGTTATATTTCTTGTCTTATTCCATTTAAAGGTTCAAGTGCCGGCAACAGATATTCGCCACAGTTTGTGAAAGCTGCCAAATTACTCCACTGGAATGGACATTTCAAACCCTGGGGGCGAACAGCATCCTTTGCAGATGTTTGGGAAAAATGGTACATTCCTGATCCTAGTGGCAAATTTAACCTGATTCGCAGGCACAGTGAGATTTACACAGCACATTAATAAAGACTTAACACCTATGTGCTTTTCTCAGGAAACCTGTAAGATCAGAGTGAAATCGGTAATGGTATGTCTGTTTAATGTACATTATATTTGAGAAAGACTTGAAATTGTATGCCTGAAGCAGCAGCTCTGTGCCTTCAAGTGCAAGATGAATAGCTTATCGACTACAGGTAGTCCTCAACTTATGACAATTGGGACCAGAATTTCCACTGTAGGTTGTTGTGGTCTAGTCAGACGCGAATTTTATCAAAATGTTCATGATGGTCATGAAGCAAATCACATGCTCCAGTTCCTTAGTGGGCAATTTTTTGCTGGAATTTTGCAAAAGAGGTCACATATCACAATGCAATTGTAGGATGTTGCAACTGGTTATTTGAGTCAGTTGCTAAGCACCTACACAGCAATCATGCGACCATCACAGGATGGTGCAACGGTTGTATGTATAGGTCATAAGTCACTTTTTCCAAGGCCAGCATAATTTCGAACTGTCTTAAACAACTGTTAAATTGAGGACTACTTGTACTCAGCTAGACCAGATGAATTCTTCAGACATAAATTTTTATAAATGAAACATTACAAAATGAACTTCACCGAGGAATTTGACATTTACTGTCCTAGGTATCTGCAATATTACCTTGCATAGCTATTTTTAAAGAAGAAAAATCTCTTAGCAGTAACCCATGAACATAAGTTTTGTTAGAACTTTTTCTCTTTAGTATTTAGTTAATTGTTTACACTTATTTAAGTCTTTTGTAGATTTAATCTGTCATTTAGTAAATGATGGAAGAAACTGCCCAACAACACTAAAGCAACCTCTTCAAATTCATGGAGAATTTATGGAGAAATCTTGATTTGTTTGTATGCAAGTTCAGATTTACATTTGATAATTGTAATAAAAAGTAATGTCTTAAAATATATTACTTCTTCCAGTAAATGGACTCAGTTTCGTAAGCATCTATTTGGGAGATGCACATTAAAAGAATTAGAAATTTGGGAGAAAAGTTCACAAATTAAAAGAAAAGGTAAATTTTGATGTTACGAAGAAAAGTAACAGAGGTGTAGAAGCCAGTGTTCCTCCTCCAAAAGTTGCTGCTAAACTACCATGCAACAGAAGGAGAAACTTCTTGATTACAGAAATATTATATGTGTCACATAGAAGAATGTGACCTCTGGTGGGCCATCCAATAGTTAAGTATGATTCTTGTTCAAAAAAGGCTGAACCACTTTTGTCTTTCTAATTATCAGGAATTAGGTAAACCTTGTAAATCTACTCATTATGTCTATATTCATCTGAGAAGAAATGGTGGCTGAAAACAGAAACAATTAGAAGTAAACAGTGGATGGGAAAGGGCTTTGGCTGTACTGCATTACAGGTTATATTCTTGCCTCTGTATATACATCCAAAGAAAAATTAGATAAAGATATGCAATTATATCATTTAAAAAAAAATTCTGGATTTCATATAAGAGTGCATATTCTATATGGCTGCACTACTTACATATTGAGCAGGAAGACGTCACAAATATATGTGCACTTTTGGTTATATTTTCTAATTACACATATTAGGTTCCTCAGGAACCTGCATTATGTATTCCTGTATACAACATAATTATGCCTTATTAAGATGGAACTGAGGCTACAGAATTATGAAAAATGCATAATTCAGGAAAGAAGCAATTTTTACCTGTTCCTTTACCCTTTATTGGCTTCAACTTTCATTTTAGTGCTAAGCTTACTATTGTAGGAAGAAGAAGAAAAAAAAACCCAAGAAAAATATTTTTCATTCCACCATAGGATTTTCCGCAATGCAGCTCAGGTTTTTCCAGTTTGGAAAATAGAAAGTCCTTTGTTATCCATACTTATTCAACACAAGCCCTACACAGGCTACAGTCTGAATTGTTGCTTCATTCTGCTTTTGTAAAACACTGATTTTACTTCTGCTTATAGTTCATATGATCAAAGCATTTACTGAACAAAATTTACTACATCAGAAAGCATCTTTCCTTATCAGCTGCTACTTCCAAAATATTTACAAGAGTCTGGTGTTCAGTAACTGCAAAACAGATTAGGAATGCATTCCAGAATGTGAAAAATACTTGAATTTTGTAATATTTTCTTCACATGTAATCGGTATTGAAGTCATAGGCATCATCCAGGTCACTGGTTTTGAGTTGTTTATCATCTAAAGAAAAAAAAACACAAGTTCAGAATATTTTGGGCTTTTTCTATTTAAATATTTACTCGTGTGAAATTTGTAGGTTTAATATATACCTGTAGGTAACATGTCCAAGTTTGCATTCTTTGCTTTCAATTCTTCAGAGGGTGTTTGACTACTCATTAATTTGTCACTTTCCTAAAACAAGATTAATAATTGCTGTATCAACATGATACTGATATAGGAAAACCAGATGCAGTGCATATACCTTCCTATATACTCTAAGTTAGTGGTTGTTCTCCATTTTAAAGATAGGAATTAAAATCTATTCTGTATTAACAGGGTTTCAAATATCTAAACATCCATCCTTCATAATCTGAGTGATGAATCCACAAACTGTATTTTGAAATTGCTTAATATTACAAATGAAGTCCCATATCACTTAAACAGGGTTTTGCCTATATAACATGATTTCTTTCTCCTTCCTTGCACACAGTTCAAAATGTTTTCCTCCCAGTTCATTCACAGGAGAAACAATTCAGCCAAGTAAAGATCTCACTGGACAGCGTCCTAAACATCTTAAAATTTAACTGTTACCTCTTCCACATCATCAAGGTCACTTTCATCATCCTCAATTTCTTCTTCAGTTAATTCTTCATCATTTTCTTCCGCCTTTTCTGATTCCAGGGCTTCCTCTGGCTGTTCATTATCTTCCATAATGCCATCCGTGAAGCCAGGAGATTGGAAGATAATAGTGCTTGCCTGGTTAGGGTATTTGTTAGCTAAAAAAGAAATACTCTCTTAAGAGACTGACTGAACAAACAGAACTTTCTAGGGCATTTTGCCAAAAGTTAAACTGCCACAGAAATGAATTCTGTTGCAACACTTTTAAGATTATGATTATTAGCAAGACTGCTAATTAGCAAGACTATTTGCTATTTTTTTTACTGATGGGAAAAAAAATAAACGGAGGAACATTAGCTGCATGGAATCCTTGGTTTATGGTCTATTGCTTAGCAACTGTTCAGTTATAAACCTTCCCAAAGCTACTTATGACTATATGTCTTTCTTGCTATGAATATTCTTAATATTTATTTATCACATCTCTAAAGCCACCCAACTCCATTACAATTCCAGAATTTCTTATAATTTTGTCAGATTTAACATTGCACTAATATTATAATCAGATCTTAAATCAAACATAAAGCCAAGTATGTACTTCTAGACGAATAGGTAATATGAAGAGAAACCAGAAAAGGCAATTAGAAACATCCTTCCACAACAGGTATTTCACCAATTGCCAGCTGCATACAGGAGACTTGAATAATCGAAACAAAGAAAAGTTATACCTTCCCCTCCCCCACCTCCAAGTACCACAAATAAAAATTATTTATAACTCCTGATGAATTATAATGTTCATGAGACAATTAGCACTATAAATTTGCATTTTTAAATAAAGCTCAACCAGAGTCGGGATAAGCTATTTCAAGCAAGAGCACTGAAGTAAACTTAAATGTTTAATTATTCCTAGCATATATAAATAATTTTATGTAGGAGAAAGCAACAGATGGAGAAAAGAGTTAACATTCCTGTATAAACTAATTGTAACTTGGCGGTTAAATTGAGGGATATGCTGGTGTCTTTGTAGGGATTAAACTTTGTTTTCCCTGAAATGTGAAACATATCCAACATTACCAATATTTTTTTCATGGAATTCAAACATAGCCTCTGGAAAAAGTATTCTGTAATATGTAAACCATTCAGTAATTTATACTAGGTCATTATGGATTTTGCTCTTATATGTATATAAGATGAGAGATGGTTAGGTTAAGAAAAATCTCACCATTTACAGTAGTTTTGTTATCTTCTTCCAATTCCTCAAAATTAAAACCCTCCTGTATTGTTGCTACTCCTTCCCTGGAAAGATGTGGAGACAGAGTCCATGGTTCAGGAGGTCGAGAATAGTAACGAACTTTGGCACTGAAAAAAAGGACGTTTAGGAGAGATTTTCACCCTTGAACAGAAATATAAAAATCTCTTAAAATGAAAAAGCTGAATAAACTCTTAAAACTTCTTTCTGCATATACATACATAGTAGTAGTAGTAGTCCTTGTTCACCAACTGACTCAGACAGTGACCCTTTGCAATTATGACAGTGATGAAACAGTAACTAAGCAGCCAACATGTGTACTTGTGACCATTACGGTCACATGGTTCAGCATTATAGCATATCTTATCCAGTGCCTGTCCCAGTTCTCCAGTGCAGGGCAGAGAGGTTGCTTAAACAAGCTATCTTTTCCTCAGCTGCTTTTTTCCTGCAGCACAGCAGTTTCCTAAAGAGTGCTAAGATTGAAGTTAACAAGTGACCTTAATTAGTTGTTTCGAAACCTCTGCTGGCAGTTGCTGCCTGATATTGGCAAAATCCTAATCAATTTCACACTGAAAGCTTTTGTTTGCCACCGAGCTGCACTAGGATTTCTTTCCATGTGTATTTCCGCTGAGCTGCATTAGGCATGGCATCTGTCCATGCCTATTTCCCCAGTGTGTATACCTTTTAGTTTTTTATAAATCCCTTGTGCTCCAATGAATGTAAATACATATATTAATTTCCTTTTGCTTAATTATCTCATCACAGAAATAAACATTCCAAAGGGCAGAACAGTGGGGGAAAATGGCTTTAAGATTTGCTCTTTTAACCAACTTCCTCGTGAGTAGAGTTCTGGAATCCTACCATTTGGGTTCACATGGATGTTTGGGGTTGTAACCTTCTGATGCTGTACATTCAGGAACAATTTCCTAATAAACCTCTCAAGATTTATTACCATCTTGGTGTCTTCCCTTAGTGTTCTCATTCTTTGATATTCACCGTGCAAGTTCTAAATTAAGCATTGACTCAGATTAATTGCAATCGGTATATAGGTAGTCCTTGTTAATAACCATCTGTTCAGCAACCATTCAAAATTACAATAGTGCTGAACTTGAACTTATGTCAAGTCACTGAAGTTAGGTTTTTACAGTGCCCTTTCAGTCACATGCTCAAAAAAATGGGCTCTTGGCACCCGTCCACTCCCTCTACCTGCCTATTTCTCCCTCCCATCTCTGCTCTTTTGGCTGCCCTCCACTCTGCCATGGCCTTCATGCTTTGCAAAAAGCAATGTTTCAGACAAAGTTTATCATATGACAGTTTTATGTCATAGCATGGAAAATACACTTAAAACTGTAAATAGTCTTGTTTATTTAAGATTCAATAATACACATTTTGCATGGGAAAATCTCTGACTCAATCCCTAGTAAATATACGAAGGAGGTTCTTCCCTACCTCTGAAATTTTAGTTATAGCAAGTTGTATGGTACTAGAAGTAACAACAATCTTAGAATTGAAATAGACTCATGATAAATTTACTGTTTGGTCTTCCAAGCACAGGTCTTATAAAAAAAAATAATCTCACTACTATAGCAGAAGAGCTTGTTTTATTGTAATTAAATGACCACATATTTACCCTGTCCAGTCAGAGAGCAGTAATTTAGCCGCACCTTCTGTATCAGGAAGACCACCTTTTTTCAACATTCCTCTCTTTTGAGCGAGCAAAGTTAAAAATTCCAGAGAATGCCTGTAGTCTGAGATATTATAGTGTAACATGATCTAGAATAAAAGAAAAGCCCCACAAGTATTATATTCTCAGAATTTTTTTCTTGTATGAAGAAATTCCTACATAATTTCCAGCCGGCCACATCCAGTTGCCTGCTTCTCCTCCAATTCATTTATATAAGTCACTACTTTTCTGAAGTGGAAAAAAATAAAGCTGATCAAAAAGCACCATTTAAGGGTACAGCAAGATCAGAGTTGGATCTGATGTCATCACCGTAACAGTATGACATAGCAAGTATCCTCATTTCTCACTTGCCTAAATGGTGGCACACTGGGCACAATTATATTCTCTATTGTATAAATAGAACGTAAGTATTCCCTTCTATTGTAGATACAGTCAACACAATTTCATTTCACTGATATGCCAAATTAATGAATACAGTGTCATCTAGCTACACTGCTCAAATCCTACACTGAATTATAGAAAATAAGGTTTAATCAAAAGTTCATAAAACGGCTACAATCAAATGGTGAAACTGTACAGTATCTTTACCTGCTGTTTCCTACAGTGCTTCAGAACAGCATCTACTGAATCAAGTAGGTTTTCAGCATATGTGATGCTTCTCAGTGCTAGAGCGAGAACAGAGCATGAAGGTGCTGCAAGTATACAGGGACTATCCAACATCTTGATACGTTTGTCAATGTGCACTGCTTGTACGGACCTTAACAGAACAGAGACATAATGGTTGGGATGAATCAGGTGCACGCACAAACCAGAATAATGAGGAAACAGATGGCAGAATAATGGAATGTAGTCATCCACAGAAGGATTGGAGAAAAACTTCGAAAGAAGCTACGGAAGGAAATAGCTATCTAGGCTAACTTTCAATTGGTTTTTTTTAAAAAAATAATTTTTTTTAACATGATCTAAGTAATTCTATGTATAACTGCTGCATATTCTGGCCACTCTATAAACTACAGATAAGTTAAGAAAAACAAGTTTTTCCCCACACTTTTCCTCCTGACAAAGATGCAGAAAGAATTTTTCTCTGTAAAAAATGGGTGGTGGCAGACCCTGGGCAGACTCCCAAGGATTATGGGAGAAGGACTGAGGGACTGTTGCTTGAGGGACCCAGAAAGACCAACCCATGCATATGCGTGCTCTGTTACAACACTAACTTTGTTAGGCCTCTCTCTGGTCCCACGTTGCAGGCGCGTACCTCTTTCAGACTATTGATTATGCTGCTTTTCCCCACGTTTGGAAAACCTAAAGCCAGTCATAAAACAAAAAACTTTTGTAAGACGTAACATGAAGTGAATTATTTTGAATATCAGATTTAGATGGGTAAGATTCTATTTTTAGAATCTTTAGATTCTATGAACGTAAATATAGCACCTTCAAATTACTTTATATTCTAGGAATGCCACTTTAAATAATCAGATATTTCAGAAAAAAAATGATTCAGAAAAGGTTGGATTCCTATTTCAATTTCCTCTTCCTCTCATTTGGCTATTACATTTAGGTTTCAAATATAAGAAGATCTGAGTGGAAGAATAAAATGCAGTACATTTTCGTCTTCTGATTTTGGACAATGTTGCATTCTTTGAAAATATTGGTTAGAATAACGGGGGCCAATTGGGTTTTCCATTTTTAAAGTGCCTATAGAGCAAGATCAGAGTTGGATCTGAAGTCTTCACCATGAGACTAAGACAAAAGCATATATCCTCATTTCTCACTCCAATGTTATAAATAAGCAGGCATCCTCAGCATAAGAAATGTATAATATGACCAATTACAATATTTTATGTATATTTTCAAGCATGAATTTCCATAGCAGTCCTTACTATATACAAGTATGTACTATAATTCACAGAACTCCATACGGACAAGGCAAACTTACCTATCACCCCAACCTGTATAACTTCATCTTTAGTCATACTATATTCTTGTAGAAGTTTCAGGAGACATTCACTTCCAAAGCATTTGTTTGCTCTTGATAATTCTAGGTATGCACTATTCTTCTTTGTATTTCTTTTCTCTTGCTGTAAATTTAAAGTAAGATCAGCAGGATATCTATTTCACAGAGAAATATATTTCTACCAGAATAGACTACAAGATACAGCCATATGGCAAAGAGCATGATAAGTTAAAAGCAGCTTTTTACTAAAAGAATATAAGTCAAAGAATCAATTATAATCAATCCATAAAATCTCTAAGAGAGTAATTAATTTATGGATTTTTAACTAAACAAAGCAATTATAAATCCATGAAATCAGTAATTTATGAATTTGTATCTAAACAAAAAGCAGAACAACACTCCATCTGTAGTGGGTACTTGCCACAATTCCTTCAATAGGAAAAGTTAAGAATCTTCATAGAATATTTCTGAAATTTTACACATTAACTTTATTCAGAGTTAATGTGAATAAAATGGAAAGGCACAAAATCCTAGATAATGCATTTTTAAATAAATACAGTCATAAAGACCCCAGAACTATTTTATATGATACCCAATCTCTCTTGTCCCTAACTATGTTCAAGCCTCTAGGTTTATTTTTTCCATAGCTCTGGTATACCATTTTAGATTTCAGAATCTTTCACTGCCCTCATCATTTATTTACAGAGGGAAAACACGAATGCTTTTTAGCACTAGATGATCCCAACAAAGTTTTCTAGTCAGAGAATTTTAGTTATTAAGAAAGAAACAATCAACACAACTGAGGAAGCACAACTACTATCTTCTGTCTGGTAATATTAGCACCATTGCTTATTTCTAATGAAAATAAACTTTTTTTCTATCTAACAATAATGGTAGTATCATAGTATAATCAATTTTCCAATGACTCCTCTTTTGGATGGAAATGCTTTGTTTCCTGCATGAAAAGTGGGTTGGACTCAGTAGTATAAATGGCCTGTTTAAGAATTTTCTAGAAGAATATATGATAGTGGTAATACAATCTATGCATGCTTACCTCTACAGAATGTATGATCGCTGTATCTTCAGGAATACTAATTTAATCATTTATTAAACAGGAGGAAAACATTTCGTATTATCTTTAGTCTTTTATCAATAGTTTGCATATACTATTCTAAAAACAGATTGGGTAGTATTACAGAAGACAGGAAAATATGTTCTTACCACAGTTCTGTCTTTTATCTGCATTGCAGATTTAAAAGCAATAGTTGGAAGATCTTTATTTAAATAATTTAACCAATTTTCTAAGTTTTCTTTTGGTATCAGATCTAGGAGAAAAAACATGCAGAAGCTTGGTGTAAAAATATGCTGTTGGGTGACAATCCATGCTATTCAAAAACTGAGTAAGAGGAAAACTGTCTTAGCATATGGAGAAAAAAATCAGAAGGAACATGGCAGCCCATTTCCTAACTAACAAATTTTACTAAAAGGTATCGGATGAAGTATGTTGCAGCTCACAAAACTCCCTGCTTTTTAATAAAATCTGTTAGGCAGAAGAGACTACCAAATTCCTCATGCCTTTTCAGGGTTACATCTAGGAAGCCACTGAGTTATGGTCATTATGGCATCAACATTTTTAAGCTACTCACTAAATACTGAAAACTATTTGCAGTTGTCTGTAATCTGTTGTTCTCTAAAGTCTTGGAGTATGGTATTATTAGATGTATATCATATAAAGAGCACTTCTGCCTACTTGCAGTAAGAAATTAATTAATTAATTGCAGTAAGTATTCCATGTCCTATTCTGATGCAATTTTAAAATAGAAATAAATGTCTAAGATTTGTAGATCCCATTATTTCTGTTTCTTTCACACTGAAAGTCCTATTACCCATAATCCTTAACAAACTGTTCAAATGAAACTGACTGGTGCAATGATAAGATTCTATTTCATTGGATTTAGACTTAGCCATGTTTCTCAAAAGTATTATGAGGAACATTATTTACTTCATGAAGCTGCCCAGCATGAACCTATTAAAAATGGTTAACTATTTTAGATCTAGGTCATAGATCTTGAGAACTACGGAAACCAATAAAGCCTATTAAATAAGTAATTTTATTGGACAATCAACAGATTGTAAGATATGAAGATACACAAAAATAACACCCAGCAACCAAAATAGTTGCTATTTCACACATGACTGCTTGATTAACATAGAAGATATTCTTTGTTATGCGCAACATTGCAAATTTAGTAGCTAAGGAAAGGTACCATACTCCAGAGGATATTCACAGCTCTATATATGGGTAATTCCAGAGGCAATTCTAAACTCTTCAGCGAACCAGATATATTCTGAGTTTGAGATAAACATCCAGGACATCAATACAATTTTGAGGTTTCATTCAGCAGAACAGAATGAAGCATAGTTTAATCAATACTTCAATAAAAGCCTTTCCACAGTCAGCTTTATTTCAGTTTCTTTCAACAGAGGGCTGCATTAAATGGGAATAACGCCGTGTGCCCGCCAGCAGCTTGGAAAGCAAAATGCTTGTGAAGATTTTCACAAGATCTAAACACTGTGTGGGTGCAATCTAGGTGTTTCTAAACATACAGGATGAGAATGACTAGAATCAGCTATTCCTCCTTAGCAGGAAAAGTGAGCTCAGAGTTGGATCTGACAGTCTCCAGATGCAGGTCAGCACGTTTTATAGCCTCCTCATAGCTCACATCCTACTGAAGAATTATTAAAATGACAATGTAATCAACAATGCAGTCAAACTCTAAAGCTTAAATACAAGCCAGCCTCTACTAGCATTTTAAAAAAATGGACAAGTCTCCTGTCTCCATTTCTAAATTTCACACATGAGATCTTCAAATCATTGGACTTAATTGGCCTATGAATAGAGCTGAAACGTGTATGTAAAAAAAAAAAACATTACTCGTTTTACTTACCAATCTTATTTAAAATCAAAAGTATTTTTTTTCTTCCCTCAGACTGAGCAATAAGTTGTTCAACCTGTGGACATCTACAGCCTAGAGGATCTCTAGCATCCAAGATTTCAAGTATGACATCTGAAGCCTCAATTACCTAAAGAGTAATAAAGAACAATATGGCATTTGAGATCATAAGACTAATTTACATTTGAAACTTCTGAGTCCTGACATTCCCAGTACTATTTTGGTATCGAGCTAATTTAAGAGTAATTCAAATGGACTTAAAAAAAAGGTTCTCCAAATAATTGAATACAACATTTTCTGAGGATTATTTTCAGAACCATATCAAACTCATGGATTTCTTAGTAGAAATCATGCTAAAAAAATGGTTGGGAACATTTAAATATACAGCTAAAGGTAACTGCAAATAGCTTTATAAAAAAGTAGGCTATAAATACAAATAAAATATGCACATGTTCAAAACTTAATAAAACAGAAAGAAAATAGCTTGGAACAGATCTAGAATACTTTCATCACTGTACTTCTTTTGTCTTTGAATATGCTGAAAAGCAGTATGTAGGGAAAAAATGGTATTCTGCTCAGTTTGGGAAATTCCCCTTGTGCTCTCCTTCCCTAAACCCTCCATCTGCTCTAGGATAGGAGGAAGGAGGACACGAAACTGAAGCAGAGGATGATATTTTGCCAATCACCGGCAAGAGATCATACTGGATGTAATAATAGTTCAAATTACTATTGTCAGATAAGAAATATAATTTATGATTTCACAAATTTATAAAGCAACTAAAACTTCTAGATATGATAAGAAAAGAAACAAGTTCCATAGACCTAACGTTAAGACTTAGGATACTGAAGAACTTCATTAAATGTTTTTTCTCAAAGAGCAGAACTGATTTATGTGGAGAACAAAGTAATTCTTAAACTATTGTGAGTTGTCAAACTAATAGCTCTTTTAAAAATAAAAGAAATATATAGCATTTCTTTTATCTGAAAAACTTTCTCACCGTTTTTAACTCCTCACAAAATGATTTCTTTGAATTCTTTTGGACCTGCTGGTTAGATTTCGTTTTTTGCTTTATAGTTGATTTCTATGAATAAATGAAAAAAACGGAAGAAAATTTAGAAATTAGGAAACCAATATCACTTGTAATAGCGGGGTGCAATAATAAAAGTTCCTTCTTTAATTTACAGCATTTATATACCCTCCTAATCCAGATACTTGGCAGCGTGCAAAACAGGATATACTACCAATCCAACTAAAATACTTTTAAACTCATTGAAGAAACAGCCTAAAATGTAAAACTAAGTGATACCCACAATTCCTCATTAGGGGCCAAAAGTCTGCTGAAATAGAATGGTTTTCATTGCCTCCTGAAACAGCAAAGGGAAGGGACCCAGCATCTCTGAGGAGCAGTGTGTTTGACTACATAGAGGGTTATTAGAGATGACCTGCCTTTTGGCCTATTCCTTTCCCTATTACTTTCCATAGGGGTAGAACCTTAAGTGGATCCCACCTAGCTATTCAAAGAACATCACAGTAAGAAAATCCCTGACATAACCCAGTAAACATTGAATAAAGTTTTATTTGCAATAACCAGTATTTTGCATTAGGTTCCAAAATCTATTGGCAATCAGAGCAGCAAGTGCAGAAGAGGGGCCACTCTGCAATTATGGGTCTTCAGTATAAGCTGTCTAGTTACTATATTCTGCACCAGTTATAGCACATTGTCTGTAAAGGCAGCACCACATCAAGTGTATTGTGGGAATCCTATCATGTGGTGATCAAGCTATGAGTCAATAAGGCGTCCTGGTTCAGAACAGGGGGTCACTTTTGCATCATTAAAGCTGAACAAAAGCCCCTGACCAAAAAATCAAGGGGCATTCTCAAATGTTAGATGTGCTCCTTCAGGAGGAATAACACAACCATGGGATACAATATTTCCAGACACTCAAGATGCTTAACACAACCGGCATCCCCATTTTGCTAGATTTACTCTGAGCTTGGTTTTCCTCACTTAGTCCCTATAGCCTGTAGATACTGGTTCAAGACTTGAATAGAATCAGTGCACTGATAATACTGTACTCCAAACTGAATAATGATCTCCCAAAGCACTTTCAAATAGATACTAAACAACATGGGGAAGATGGGTGGGCCTGTTGTACTTCACTCTAGAGCAGCCATAGGCTGGATCGCCCACCCCATGACTAGAAAGGTAGGTACAGATGCAGAGGCTCAGGGTACAATTATTCTGAAAGAAATAAATGTGATTTTTCAAGCTAATGACATATTCCTCTCCACTGATCAGCACAATCAGAATGTAGTGCTTTCCTAAAAATTCATACCTTATCACCAGCATCCTTTTTATTTGCTTGTTGGTTGCGTTTCTTTTCTAGTTCCTTCTGACGAGCAAGTTTTTGCTTCTGTTTCAATTCTTCACGCTATTAGCACAAAATATAAATATGTTCTTATACACTATGACAATTAGAATCCTCCTCACCTTGCTTTAAAACTAATTATGGCCATTCTTCTAATGTTTATCTGGTTACTACATTTCACTGTACAGGACTTTATACATTATGCACTGCATGACATGTAGCCTAGATATGTTTTAATAATTTTAGCAGATATAAATATATAAAACTACATATTAATTTTTTCTGTAATTCCAGCAAACATGGAATAATGGTTTTAAAACTCCTGATAGGTGCTCAGAAAATATCAATTCTGCTTTTAATAAAAAATGTTTGATTGTCTAATTTTATATAGTTACACACCAAAGTTTGAGCTGTTTTACCTGTTGCTTCCTATGTTCAGCTTCCCGAAGAATCTCTTCTTTAAATGGGGCAGTATTGGGAACTCCAGGATCTTTCTTTGGTTTCCTGTGTTTATGTTTCTTTGATTCTTTTCGAAGTTTTTTATTGTGTTCTCGTACCTATAAAAAACAGTGGCCATCTTTTACTACTATGGATTTTTTTCATCCCTCTTTCCTCTTCATATAAAGACTTCAGCACTTTCTCTGCTACATATTCTTAGCTTGTAAAAATACTAATTTTATTCTGATTTTTGGAGCTTTGAAACTTTTTTACTTGTACAGTCCTTCTTTCTATTATCAAAAGTACGACATAAACTATAATAATAGCTTATTCTTAATCATAAATTCTAAAAATGTTAGTTTAAAACTGTACGGTTCCAAACTGTGCACCAAGGTATCCCAGCAAACTCACAGAGGCATTGCGGGATATTTTAAATTTTTGAGGGAAACAGAGATACTTAACATTTGTTGACTATTGTGAGTGTTATGAACCAAAAATAATGGAACTTCTGTTTTAAAACAATTCTGCAATGTTATTTAACATTATAACAAAAATAGGTTGTAAGGAAAGCATGTCACTTTTCTACTTCTTTCTAAAGATAACTGATCAACTGATGATGACAAAGAGGGTCATTAAACTGAAGACAGGAGGAATTCAAGGAGAAGAATGGAAATGAAAGAATGTTGAACCAAATATTTTTGAAGCAAGAATTATACCACTGAAAAGTTAATTATAACATGAACTTTATGTTCTTTCCATACTGCTCATAAAAGGATTCAAATAACCTTTCTTCCCTGTAGTGAACAGCTGTTCTCCGATTGTAAGCCAGGACAGACAACAGGGATACACAATGGGAACAGCAAAAACCATACTTGTTTTAAGCAGGAATTAATTCAAAATACACATTTACCTTTTTCTGTATTTTATACCGTTTGTGGCAGGTCATGCGCTTACTAGCTTTCTTTAACTCTGAAAGACAAAAATGTAAAAAGATAAATTCTATCAGCATATATCGGACAAATGAAATGTGTGCCACACTATTTTTCCACAACTATGAACCTAGAAACATAGTTTAATAAATAGGAAAGAAAATGTCTGAATAGACCCAGAGTTCTTAGGTAATATTACAAATTTATCCTGCCTTTACAGGAACACAGAATATGATTAAGAATGTAATATTTTCTCGCTCCACAGTCCTTAAAATTTAAGTCTCATTGAGTATTTTGGATTAGTCCCAATTGCTTATTGTCTGGGGTCATTAAAATAACAACAGATAAATAGTTGGCTGACATAGTATACAATATCCTTGGTTTTTCCCAATGATTTTCCCCCTTCGTTGTATAGGTTTTAAGATTGTAAGCTTTCCCATTCATTTAACATTTTTTTAAACACCCAGAACTCACCAGTACAAGTAGAAATTTAATTAACCCATCTCTGTTTAAGAGCACAAGGTTATATCAGAAGCCACGCAGAACAACAAAATCCTTATAAAATCAAGAAAAGTGCAAATGGGGCTGCATTTCTAAACTCTGCTTAGAATTTTCCTTTGCTTCTTGCTACTTAATTTTGCATCAGCTTGGGGGGGTGTGTGTGTGTGCAGGCAAGCCATGTTATCCCAAAGGTCCTGTTCAAAAGGCAACTGGACTTCCCCCCCCCCTTTGAAAACGTTTCTCTTCTCATCCAATTCTGAAGCTGAAGAAGTTTCTTCCCATGAGGGCTGGAGATTGGAGAAGAATGTCAGTAACATACCTTGCTGTCCATGGAGGTTTTCACTCATCCAGCTCGTGGTTTGTCGCAAAGGTGCTGCTGTTCAAAAGGCAACTGGACTTTCTTGGGGGTTTTTTTCCCCCCCCTCTTGAAAACCTTTCGCTTCTCATCCAATTCTGAAACTTGAAGAAGAGAAACGTTTTCAAGGGGTGGGGGAAAAAAACAACAACACCCAAGACATTCCAGTTGCCTTTTGAACAGCAGCACCTTTGCGACAAACCACGAGCTGGATGAGTGAAAACCTCCATGGACAGCCAAGCCAGGTTACCCACAGACTCTTCTCCACTCTCCTGCCCTCGTGTGCTCCAACGCATCTGGAGAACATCAGGATGGTACAGGTGGGCCTTAGATCGCAGGAGCCTGTCCAGTACACGACTCTACACTTCATTACTTTGTGGAGGACAAGCGGCTCACCCGATCCGGATCGCTTTGCGAAGCAAAGGCCCAGGAGAGACACCCTGTACGGAGCTCCTTCCCCTGCGTCTCTCCGGTCGCGAATTATTAACCGACCGGCCGACTTCCATTACCGGCCCATCCCTGTTTGTGTCCCCGTCCCCGTTCCCCTCCCCCCCCCAATAGCCGCTGCGCTACTCACTCGGTCGCTTCATGGCGGCCGGACGCGACTCTCTCCTCTCCTTCTGAGCGATCCACGTGGAAGAAAGAAGAACCTCGCCGAGAGGCTGCCGTAAAGCGCCGCGGCCTGGCTGTCGCTCCGCGAGTCTCGCTTGGCGGCTGAGAGGCTTGAGGTTTGCGACAGCGGCGGGATTCGCTTGGGAGCGAGCGAGCGAAGTGAGCGGCAACAGTGGCGGCAACGCCGACGGCGCGGGGGGCAGTGGCGGCGACGGGGACTGAGCGCGGCCGCGGCTGCAGGAGGCGGAGGATTAGCAGCAGCAGCAGCGGGGCTGGCTGGGTAAGTTCAGGGTGAGGGGCCGGGCTTGGCTCGGCTTCGGAAAACAAGCGGCGCTCGCGGGAAGGGAAGACAGGAGGCCGCGACGCGTCCCCTTTGTGTGGCTCCGGAGCTGCTGGGCGAGATTCTTTTGCCGAAGCCCCCGGTCTCTGCGCCTCTGCTGCCGAGGACTCTGGGCTGCTCGCCTCCCTTCTGGTTCCTCTTCGGGTCTGCTGCCCGCTTCTGACCGGCCTTCCCGTCTCTCCCGAGGGGAAAGAGACCGGCCCTCTCCACCAGCCCCTGGGCTGCCTCTGACCTACTAACCCTCTTTTCTCTCCCCGAGTTCACACACGTCCCCCCCGGTCCCCTCCCCGCGAGTCTTCCCCCTCTTTCGGGTGGATTCTTCCCAGGAATTTGTGGGTGATTTTATCTGTTTTCCGGGTTTTCTTTTTCCCTCGTCAGCACGTTTAGGAGAGAAAAAAAATACATATATATATATATATATATACCCCAACATTTCAAAAGCAGTTAACAGGAGAGGTATCTATCCTAAAGCCCCGGCTGCAGAAATGATTTGAAGTTTTCGCCCTTAGTCCAGAGCAGAGCCCCGCTGCACTTGTCAAAAGTAATCACTTCTTTGGACTGAATCCTCTCTAACCCATCCACTTCTCCGCATTGAGGCATAAGCAACCTTTGTTGCCTGTTTTTCCCCACCATCAAACTTTCTTCTAAAATACAAATTATAAGTTTCTTTAAAAGCATGGCTTCCTAATAAAAACAACCTGAAATACAGGTACTGTTTCTGAAGCTGGATTCGTACAGTGTGCTGGGGATATGGTAATTTGTTGATTCAACATGGTAAACCATAATATGGTTTTTATACATATAAATTAACACCTGTTGTGGCCACATAATATATATATATATAATATATGTGGCCACAACAGGTGTTAATTTGAATTTAGCATATTGTGTGAACCCAGCCACAGTTACTGCACAAAGGGACAGGGATTTGCAAATTATAACAGCTAAAAAGAAAGATATGTACCATCAAGTGAAAAATCAGCTGTCCTTTAATATTTGATATTTCATTTATTTAAAGATGTTGAAAAGCTTAACAATATACTGGAATTTATAGTTTAGTTATTCATCTAATAACCAATATTTTGAAATGTCCAAAGTTCATTTATTTCTAAACTTAAGGAGTTGTATATTTTTCATTTTACTTAGCCAATGAAAATGTGTTGAGACTGTCTTAATAAAGGAGAATATTTGTAGCTCAGGGTTGAAATAAGGGCTCCTTGGTGCTCTTTGAGCTCGCTTGGTTTCTTCAGACGTTTCATTACCAAAACTAGTGATGTTACCTAGTTTGAGTAATGAAAGGTCTGCAAGAAAACAAGCAAGCTCAGAGAGCACCAAGGAGCCCTCACTATCTTAATTGTCTGCTTGTTAAAATAAATGTTGAAGAATTATGGCATTGTCAGAAGAGAACGCCATTTTTTTGTTTGTTTGTTTTTTTTAGCATATTGATAACTTCCAAAGAAACAGATTTGGCTGGCATATTAACAAGCTTTCAAGTTGCACAGAACTTTTTTTCAGATCAACAGTATAATGAAGGATTCTTATATTTTTGGAAATTAGAATTATCTACTCCAAAAGGAAAAATGTAATTTAATCAGGAAGTGATAGATGGCTGTTTTCATTTAACACTGGAATAATGGTTATTTTTACAGAATAGTACAGATACTATTTTCATGCTTCTGATAAATATAGATTTTTTCATTTCATTCTACCCAGAAATTATAACTTAAAAGGCATGTTTTATATATGAAAAATACTGTTTTGTTTTGTTCTTGATATGAACTTTAGGAATTCATTGGTTGAGCTGATATACTTAAGTCAGATAGAAAAATTAATGTCCGATAAACTGTTATGTTGTAATAATTGTAACTATATTGACAGTTTATTTAAAATACTGAAAGCATTGTAGTTATCTGAAGTCAGGTAAACAATTGTAGTGCTGTTCAAGTAATATCAACACAATTATTTAACTAATAGAAAAAGAATGGCAGTTCAGTTAATGGACCTGTAGCAACAAAATATTATTTTTATAATAAATTTTCAGCCTTCACGTGTCACGATTTCAGCCTCCACACACCCTGTTTTAGACCCGTTTCAGGCTGCGGGGATTGCCACAGCACATTGCCGCCAATCTCTGCCTCCGCATGTCGCATTTTCGGCCTCTGTGCATCGCATATTCAACCTCCGCATGTCACCTTTTCGGCCTCCGCATGCCCTGTTTTTGGCCTCCGTGCATCACATTTTTGGCCGGTTCTGGGGGGTGGGGATTGCCACCACTGCCACCGCCAATCCCCGCCCCCCAGAACCGGCCAAATATACGATGCACGGAGGCCAAAAACAGGGCATGTGGAGGGCGAAAACGTGACGTGCGGAGGTCGGAAATGCGATGCACAGAGGCGACAATGTGCTGTGGCAATCCCCGCAGTCTGGAATGGGTCTAAAACAGAGTGTGTGAAGGCCAAAAACGTGATACGCAGAGGCAGCGATGGGCTCTGGTGATCCCCGCAGCCTGGAACAGCTAATTGGCGGTATTCCGGGAAGCCGATCCAACCGCTAAAAAGCTGTTCTTGGTAAACCAGGCTGCGATAACGTGGTGAAGCTGACCAAAAAAACGGTATGCTTTTTTCCATTCTGTCCATACACTATTTCATGCGTGGTGTTTTATTTTTTTAACCCTTTTTTCTTTTTTGAGGATCTCATCAACTCTATCCAATCACTGCTTTCATGATTTCCCTTCTCAGACCATTGATTTTTATTTCACAATGTTTTATTTCCAGTTTGATCCTCTTTCATCCTCACCAAATCACCTCAGTGAATTTCTTTTGAACTGGTTAGTCCTTGTTGCCTTATGTTCATTTAACACTCTTTGATTTCTGATAGTATTTCTTCTTCATTTATTATGTACATTTGATATAAATTTCTTTTGGCATACCAATCTCTCACTTCTGTATAATAAAGTGGGCAGAAAACATTTTTTTATGTTGCCATTTTTTTTCCAACAAGCATTCTTGCTTTACAATAGACCACATATTCCATCATGTTGATGTCAAATCTTTTCTTCCAAAATTTGCATGTTATAATTTCTCCACCCATTTTTCCAGTTTAACAGAAATTCAAGATACATAAATTAATCTTTCTTCATGTTTTGCTATTTACAGAAACTTGCAATTGTTTTATTTACTTTTTCTAGTCAAATGCAATTACAGGTAGTCCTCGACTTACAACAGTTCATTTAGGGACCAAAGATACAACAGCACTGAACAAAGTGACTTATGACCTTTTTCACACTTACAACCATTGGAGCATTTCCATGGTCATGTGATCAAAATTCAGACACTTAACAACTGACATATGACAATTGCAGTGTCCTGGGGTCATTTGTCACCTTCTGACAAGCAAAGTCAATGGGGAAGCCAGTTTCACTTAATATCTGTGTTACTAACTTAACAACTGCAGTAATTCATTTAACAACTGTGGCAAGAAATTTGTAAAATGGGACAAAATTCAATTAACAAATATTTCGCTTAGCAATAGAAATGTTGGGGTAAATTATGGTCTAAGTCGAGTACTACCTGTAATTTGGTTTTTAATATATTAGTGTTGATATATATGCAGACACAGTGTCTGAATCTAACATTCACATGAATCATTTGGTTCTCTCCCATAATGTGACATCATCTGCATACAAAAGTATAAGTACTTTCATGTCTCCAATCATCACAGCTCACACTTCCTACTATATTTATTATGTCTAACAACACACACTTCCTAATATATTTATTCATAAATAAATTTAAAAAATCAAGCAGACATTAGACATCTGTCTTACTTCCTGCCTATTGTTGAACCATTTGATAATCATTCAATGTGCTTATGTATATTATATCTCCATTAGATCCTCTTTACCATATTTAGCAACCATACTTTAATACGGTACTTGCATTAAACTTTCCATAATTCAAGCTTAATTCTGTTTATACTACACTTCCTTTGAATCAAGAAATATGCAATAGATCAGATATTTGTACATTTCTCAAAAACATTCTGAAAAGCAAAAAAAAATATCTCTATAGAAAAGGTCATACAGTTTTCTTAAATTTTGCTAATGTCATCTCACACTTTTTCTATCAGAATTGCCCAGCACCTTGCCCAGCACCTTGCCAAGCACACTTAACAGATTAATCCCCCTGCATTCATTATTGTCACCTTTTCCTTTGTTTGGCAAACAATAATAGCATTCTTTTATTGTCAGGTACTGAAGCAGCTGTCACACACACATTACACAAATCAGATAGGCAGTCCATAAGCAAGCCAAGTCAATGTTCTAATATCTCTCTGCTTTTACCATCTATTCTACACCGTCTACGCATTTCTATTCTTTAGTATTTTACATAACATATTACTTCTTTTTTTATCAGTTTTTGAAAACTAGTTATAGGATTCATTTAAATTTCAGTCTTCATTATCATACCCAAGCAAATCTTCCAGCATTCTCTCACTTCAGTTTCATCCCATATTATTTAATTAATTCTGCTGGAAGCTCCTTATGAAATCAACAATAATATTGTAAATATTACCTACTTCCCAAACAGTGTTTTATTTTATTTCAAAATCTCTTTTGCTTTTTTTCTTCCTCTTTTTTCTACATGTACAATATTTTTCATCCTCAAAGACATTATAAACTTCATTGCCTACCATCATTTCAACCACTGTACGATGTACAAATCCATCATTTAATCTTTAGCTTTAAATACCTCTGCTTTGTTTGAGTTTGCTTTCAATTTATTTGCCATTTATCAGACAAAATTACAGCTGCTACTTGGCTTGGAGTAAAATGTGAAACAGTTGTTACCAAAATATGGTTTACTTCTGTGTATACATAACTATAGTTTTGTTGTCTTATGTGTTGTAAATATAGCCAATTATTCCATAATCAATCACTAAGCTATTGTTTAGTTTGAAGTGCTTCAGCAACTGCATTTAAAAGTATTAGATCTGTACCTGCATTATTAATTTGAAGTTTTTATAATGTTTTATAATTTATTATAATTAAAACTTAATGACTTTGTTATATGATGTACATTTGCCTTTGCAATTTCTGAATGTTATTTTTTAAATGTTGGTCAATATATTATTTAATTAGAACAATAGATACACTATGGCTGTGATGGCGAACCTATGGCACGTGTGCCAGAGGTGGAACGCAGAGCCCTCTCTGTGGGCACGAGCACCATTGCCAGCTGCTCTTCCAGGTTCTATTGCACGCATGTGCACGGCCAGCTGCGCTCTTCCAGGTTCCAGCGCTCTGGCCCATGCGCATGCTCCAGTTTCGGCATTCAGTGCCGAAAAGGTTAACTATCACTGCACTATGGTGATTTATATATAATGAACTATCTTTTTTGTTAGTATAGTTCTTCTGGAATAATATTACTATTAAGACTATAGTTCTACCGTATCAAATAGAGTTTTATAACTGATAAGTGTGAAACTACAAACTTTAATCACTTATTCTAAGACTGCTAGTTTTGTTCTGAGTTTTAAATAAACATTATTTCAAATTTGCTAACAAGCCAGGTATTATAATCCTATTTTGTGCTGTTTTCTATAGTTTTCCTTATTCTTTCTTCTTAATTCCTTTATTTACCTATTCTTCCTTTGTTTCTTCTCTGTTTTCCTTTCCTTTTGTTATCTTCTCTTTCAGTTTTGGCTGTACTAATACTGCGGCTGAGTTGGTGCTTTAAAGATTTCCCTTTTCTCAGTTTGCTTACTTGCCTGTCAGACATTATGAGGAGATTGGCTTTTCGTGGTGCTGGTTGTACTCTGGTAAATCTGGTAATTTGCTGGTAATGTGTGTGCTGTTTGTCCCTTTTCCATACATCTCAGCCATTTTTGTTTTATATAGGTAGTCCTTGACTTACAACCATGATTGAGCCCAAATTTTCTGTTGTTAAAGTGAGACATTTGTTAAGTGAAATTTCCCCCGTGTTATGACCTTTCTTGCCTCAGTTAAGTGAATCATTGCAATTGGTAAATTAGTAACCTGGTTGTTAAGTGAATCTGGTTTCCCCATTGATTTGCTTGTCAGGTCGCAAAAGGTGATCACATGACACAGCAATGGTCATAAATATGAATCAGTTGCTAAGGATCTGAATTTTGATCACCTGACCATGGGGATGCTCGAAAGGTTATAACTGTCATAAGTCATTTTTTTCAGTGCCCGTTGTAACTTTGAATGGTCACTAAACAAATTGTTGTAAGTCGAGGATTACCTTTATTTGATTTGTAAAAGTCCTGTTTTTTCATGTATCTCATGAATTTGTACATTAATTTGCTTATCAGATATGAAGTGCAAATGTATTAACGCAATTACATTAGACAAAATATATATTCTTAAAATATATTTCTGTAAATAAAGTAATTGGAAAACATAATTTCCTATTTGTTTCCCTTGGAAAACTTATTATAGTAATCTTACATTTTAAAATTTATTAAAAGAACTTGACTGGGATAATAAGAGGTTTTTTATTTTATTTTTCTGCTTTTAAATGAGTAGGAAATTTTAGAAGGTTTATGAATCACTTCACACTTTAAAATTGCAAACAAATTATCACTTTACTTCTTCCTGATAATTTCTTAGTCTGCATTTGTACTGTGTAAATTTCAGGTTTAAGATTCAGCTTTTTCAGCTCAGATCAACTAGTTCCATATGGACTTGAGGTTGTTTGGGAGGAATAAGAAATAATTGCTTTGTGATTTAAATGAAAATAAATAACATGCTTCGTTTAAACTTGGTTGATCTTTAGTACTTATATTACATTATAATTAATGTTTGTCTTCAAGTAAATAATAGTTTTCGTAGGAATACTGGCAAAATATAAGAACCTTATTTACCTAAAGGATTCTTTTATATTTTGTTTTCAATACTTAATCTATGTCCACATTAATGTATTAAACCGATTGTATAATATCACTGCAATCTTCTGATAGAAGCATTTACTTCTATCTTAGCAAACAGATTGTTTTGCACTAATATTTTAGATCCTTTCACTTTTTCTCTTAAGACACTTCATGTCACTATTACACAAATCACAGTAGCTTCTATGGCATAAAGTTTGCATGCCTACTTCAAAACCATGCTTAACATAAATATATACTTTTTAAAAATATAACAAATGAAAGTACTTCGGGACACAAGTTGCTCTTATATTGAATATAGTCCATGGGAAATATGATCATAGTAATTACATAGCCTCTGTAATTACTGTACGTTTAAATTCAGCAACTAATTCACGATTCACTTGTAATTGAACATTCATTCCTCAGTCACAATTGGAACTAATCCTTTTGATCTTTGGTGTTGGCACAAAACAGATTTTGGTTGTAATTGATTTTTGCTTAATGTTGTACATTGCCTTGAAAGCTGTCAGGTGGCCAAAAGGATATTTGTTTTGTGTATGTATGTATGTGTATCTTGATGTCTATCTTTTTTAAACACACACACACACACACACACACACTGTAAAAATAAATTACAATTGTTTATGTTTGCTACATATCAGCTGTGGTAATATTTCTTTAAGAAATAGAAATGTTTCAGTCCCTTCAGAAAACCATTTATTTTGTTATAATTTTGTCATCAAGGGGCTTCGCTAATACAATGATTGCTTGACAGTAAAACCATGAATATAATATCCTAATATAGGTTATGTCAGTCTTTCCCAAACTTGTCTGTATTCTCCACACAGCATGGCCATTTTCCCAGAATTCTGGGATCTAAAGTGAATCTAAAGAAGCTATGCATTGTCCAGACGTTATCTAGAAACAAAATTTCTAAAGGTAGAAGATTATTTCCAGACATGTTCCAAGCCCACAAAATTGTATGCAAGAAATTCCCTATAGTGAGCTGGAGGGAGTGGGAATAGATCCTTATCGGTGTGTCTCATCATTGTTCTTAGTCATGCTCACAGTGGCGGCCATTGTGTGAATAGGTGTGGAGCTAGTTTATCAGAATAGCCACATTTTTTCAAAATACACGGCGTACCAAAGACACACTGTAAATTATTTCAAATAATTGAATTGTAGATTTGTTAGGATTTGTTGTCTTGTTATCTTATGTTTTCTTTACCTGAAACCTTCCAAGTTTAAGAACATTTTTCTTTATTATAGAAGAAGTTGGATTCCATGAGCTCAAAGAGGCGAAGGGCTACCTCTCCTTCTAGCAGTGCCAGCGGAGGAGATTTTGATGATGGTCACCATTCCACAAACACACCAGGTCCAAGTAGGAAACGGAGAAGACTCTCCAACCTCCCAACAGTTGATCCTGTAAATACCCATAAATGTCTATCTTTCTATCCTAGTCACTGTGTAAAAGCAACACTCTATTATATCACTAGAAATAATAACTACACTATATATAGAACAGAATAACAAAGTTGGAAGGGACCTTGGAGGTCTTCTAGTCCAACCCCTTATTAATTATTCTAACTGTCAGGAAATTTCTCCTTAGTTCTAAATTGCTTCTCTCCTTGATTAGTTTCCACCCATTGCTTCTTGTTCTACCCCCAGGTGCTTTGAAGAATAGTTTGACTCCCTCTTCTTTGTGGCAACCCCTGAGATATTGGAACACTGCTATCATGTCTCCTGTAATCCTTCTCTTCATCAAACTAGACATACCCAGTTCCCGCAACCGTTCTTCATATGTTTTAGCCTCCAGTCCCCTAATCATCTTTGTTGCTCTTCTCTGCACTTTTTCTAGAGTCTCAACATCTTTTTTACATCTTTTATATTAATTAAAAATTAATTAATTAATTATATAGTTATATAAGTATAACTATAATCACTAGATTATAAATTTTGGAGTTGTAAATGACGACTTCCTGTACACTTACTTGCAGTTTATAAGTGATGCAATGCACCATCTTCTTTGAAGTTGACAGCTTTTCCAGGGTTGTTAAGGTCAGAGTCTTCAGACTTTGGTGTGGTGGTGGGGTGGGAGATTAGTGCAGTTGAGGGAAAACTTCCACATTTAAGATTTTTAAAATCTCCTAACCATCTTCTTATATTGGGCTGATTTTTCTCAGTGTCATAGGGATGTCTGCTGATTTTTTTTAAAAAGGGTGTTGATTATTTTTCTTAGCAGTATTTCTAGCATCAGAAAAACAAAATATTTAGTTTTGTTATAAAATAACCATGAACTTTATTTTAAATAATAATATAAAATAATAAGTTAAGAAAAATCATCCCTGCCCATTTTGGGAGTGCAGACCCCCCACCCCATACTGGGCAAACTCTGTTTTGGCACATAAGCTGGCAAAAGGCAGAAGCCCATTTCCTGAAAAGTAGATTTTTCTCCTTTAGATGTTCCTTTAGTAAATGAATTGTATTTGTATATAAATTGATTAACATGTTCACAGACAAATAAAGTCCCTTTTCCCCACCCTATCCTCAGATAAAACAGGACTTCTTTGTTTAGGTTAGTTTGGTTTGGTTTAGTTGATCTTGGCTGTTATAAGTGCTTATTTTGTGCACAGACTTTGCAGTTGAAACCGGCAGCTTGTTGATGATTTAGGGAGCCTATCAAACACAGCTTTGACAATGAAATTGCTAAGGATGACTTAAGACTACTTCAGATATGAATTGGGAAGCGATAAAAGAAAAAAGGTTATTAAGTCATGTTTCACCATGCTTAGTTACTGGTCACAACTCTGTTATTAGCTCATTGGTGGTCCTCCTTTTCCAACTGGCTAAACTGACCAAATTAAGTAATCCTAGGTTTCTTAGAGGTCATAGCATACGATTCCATTTATAACAAAAATACCTGAAACACACACACACACACACACCACACTTTCTTAAATTTGCAAAGTAAATTTTGATGAGTAGAAGACATCATAAAAAACATCATATTTTCTTTAAATTAATTTTTTGTGGAAGAAAATAGTAATGTATCCCATCTCTCCTATAGCTTCAGTATGTTATGAAATTTTATATGGCATTGTCCTTTGTTCTTGCTGGCTCATCTCTAAAAAGGAAAAATGCCACATGATTTTGAAACATGAAATGTTTTGAACATTAGAAGTATAGTGTTATACAGATACTCAATATCACTGTAAATGTACTTTTATTTTTTTCTGTTGCCCTACTATTTTAGATTGCTGTTTGCCATGAATTATATAACACAATCAGAGATTACAAAGATGAACAAGGAAGGCTTTTATGTGAACTGTTCATTAGGGCCCCCAAAAGACGGTAAGCTTGAGATGTTGATAAATAATCCAATGTGTGTATTTTAGTGTTTTAGTATTTATGAAGAGTATGTAAAACAATTTGCTATAAAATGTTTTAAGTGCAAAACTTTGTGAAATGTCTAGCTGTAACTGCAAAACTGCTGTTTGGAGCATCAAGAAGGCTATTTGGAGCATTTTAGAAGTGTTTCAAACTTCAGCCAACCTGTTTTGTACTTATTGCTGGATGTTTGAGGGAGTTCCACGCTCAAAATGGTTCAAAAGAAGATGTTAGATGTACTCCTAGTATTTATGTTTTTATTTGTAATTGCATGATCAAGTTACTTAAATTCATAAATAGAAGGAACTGTTTTGGTTGTTACATTTCAACAGAAGTGTATGGTTAGGTGTTAGGTGCAAAAATACTAATGACAGAGTCCTCTTTTCATATTTCATACCTCTTATGAGAATTCAGGAAAGCCTTGCAGGAGGCTTCTGCAAGCTTCAGGAAGGACATGAGATGCAGGAAATTTTCCTTGGTATCTTTACAACTAGCCCTTATATTTAACAACCATTGCAGCATGCCAGCAATCACATGATCGAGAATTGGGAACTTGGCAACCGGCAGATATTTTCAACCACCATAGTGTCCTGTGGTCAAATAATTGCCATATGCATCCTTCACAGACAGTTTTCAGCAGGCAGAGTCAATGGAGAAACCAGCTGTAATATTGGAAGTCGCGGTCATGTGATGATTTAGGGAATATTTATTTAGCAGCTGTGGCAGAAATAAGGTTGTAAGATTGTTAATAACATGGTGTTTACTTAACTGTGTCACTTAGCGGTGAAGTTGCCACTCCCAATTGTTAAATGAGGACTTCCTGTAATAAAAATAGCTTAGAGAACAGTGCTGATGTCAGAAATCCATTATTTTATTATTATGCTGATGTAGCTGTTGATATAATTGACAAAACTATTCTAGCTTTTGAGTAGAATAATCTAGAGTATATATTTTAACACCTGTTGCGAGGCACTATGAATTTTGTTAATTGCATTTTCAATATGTTATTACAACAGAAATCAGCCAGATTACTATGAAGTAGTTTCCCAGCCTATTGATTTAATGAAGATCCAACAAAAGTTAAAAATGGAGGAATATGATGATGTGAACGTCTTAACTGCTGACTTCCAACTGCTGTTTAATAATGCAAAATCCTATTATAAGGTGATAGTGCTTTGTTTTGAAAGTCATGGGTTATATTTTCTAGCACTGATTTACATGAGTTAATAGGTGGAAAAGGTCATTTCAAGCTTCTCAAAAGCTGATAATTAGACAAAGTAGCTTTTATTCTCATTGTAATATAATTGCAGTTAATGACATATTCTATCTGATATTAATACTATAACTGTGATTTCCTTAAAATATATATTTAGGATTTAGGAAATCCTATATATATATTTCACTTATTAAAAATGATTAGATGTAAAATATTTTAGCGACAAACACCTACTTAGATTACAGAGCCATTGAGAGATGAAGCAAGTGCCCCCACTCTGGATCCAAACCACCTTTCCTATTTTAATTAAAAGTATCCTTGTTTACTTGTTGATTTAAAAACAAAGAATATTGTTTTGATTCTGTTACACAGCCAGATTCTCCTGAATATAAGGCTGCCTGCAAATTGTGGGATTTATATCTACGGACAAAAAATGAATTTGTTCAGAAGGGAGAAGCTGACGATGATGAAGACGAGGATGAAGGCCATGACAATCAAGGGACTATTTCTGAAATAGTAAGTATAAAATTTGCTACTTGCCGATAAGTATAACTGATTCAGTGCAATACCCATTGTAATTGTAATGGCCTGTGGCCAAGCCAAAATATGCATAACTGAATTAGTCACATTCTTAAATATTTACATTTACTCCTACTCCATTATGCAAATTGCCTTACAGGATTATATTTGTATCAGTCTTCTCCAGGTTATTTAAAAGAAATTCTTGAACAACTTCTTGAAGCAGTAGTTGTAGCTACAAATCCATCAGGCCACCTTATTAGTGAACTTTTTCAGAAGCTTCCCTCTAAAGTGGTGAGTAACAATAAATGATGATGATGATGGTGATGATGATGATACACTTTATTGAAACAATTTCAGTACAAGACTATTAGCAGAAGTAAAATCTGAACATGAGCATAAAAAGCACAGCTTGAATTGAGGCAGAAAATAGAAAAACCATTCCATGGGGGGAAAACTCTGCAAACGCCATTTTCCTGTTGCATGCTTTCTTTTCATTTTTTTACATTTCTTAGTTTTATGAAATTTTATAAGCATATGGATAAAAAACAACATAAAATAACAATCAAGAGAAGATATAAATAATAAAAAGAGAATAGGGATAGAAATGCAGAGGTATTAAAAAAAAGTAAAGAAAATGAAAATATATTCAAATAATGCCGCCCAACTTCTAAATAAATAAGATTCTTAGTTTAAAACTGCTATAATATAATGTCCATTTTAACTTTAGCCACCATCATTGCCAATTCTGTCATCTTTATTAATAATTTCTTCATTGTAAGTATCATGGGATCTTTCCAACGCTGGGCATATAAAAGTCATGCTGCTGTTATTAAAAATGCCATATAATTTTCCAAAATTTTATTCATAAACCCTAACAAAAAGTTTCTGAACTGAATTGTAGATTGATTTTTAAACATTTTTTTGAATTACATTACTAATTTCATCCAATATTGTTTAACTCTTTTGCAAGACAGCAAAAGGTGATATAAGAATTTTACACTTCCAGCAACTATGTGGAGATCCTTTATACATTTTAGCCAATTTGTCTGGGGATAAGTACTATGTATTTATAATTTTATAAAAAATTGTCTTTCAGGTTACAACATAACATACATTTCAGTTCCCTTAGCCACAAGTTTTCCAATTGATCAATTAGTATATTGAAAATTTTTTGTTCAACTTATCATGCAGCTTTTAACTAAGTTCTGATTTTAACAAAAGTGTATACATTTTAGCAATAAGATGTTCATTATTTGTACACAGTTCCATTTCAAAAGTAACTTTATCATTTTCAAAACCATACAATTTCTTGTCAGCTTTAAATCTCTCCATGAGTTGTAAATACAAAACCATTGACAGTTGAAACTTTTTAATGTCAATTTATTTATTTATTTATTTATTTATTTATTTATTTATTTATTTATTTATTTATTGGTTCAATTTATATGCCGCCCTTCTCCGGAGACTCAGGGTGGCTTACAATGCGTTAAGCAATAGCCTTCATACTTTTGTATATACCTGCTTAGTAGGGCTTTGCCCCCCCCTCCCCCAAAGTGGTGTTCTTTTTTATACAAAGTCAGTTTATTGCCCCCACAATCCGGGTCCTCATCTTACCTACCTCGAAAGGATGGAAGGCTGAGTCAACCTTGAGCCTGGTGAGATTTGAACTTGCAGTAATTGCAGGCAGCTGGTGTTACTTAACAGCACTTTAATCTGCTGCGCCACCAAGGCTCTTTAACTTTATCATAGCATAGTTATGTGTACCATTCAAATCTCAGCCTTCTGGATCTATTAATCTTATTTCTCTTTTTTTTTTCAACATAATTTTTTATTTTATAAACAACAAACATACAATTCTTAATCAATCATACAGTGTATCATCTGAGTACATCTTTTGTATCTTCTTGTTATTCCTCCAGTATTTATCATATCTTAATTTTATCATTTCATTTATTGTGACATTCCCCCCAAATTTCTTACTTTTCTATTAATACATTTATCTATCTTTTTATTTTAGTAAAAAAAAAAATTTTTTTCAACAACAATTTTATCCCCAACCATCCTTCAATCCCCCCTCCCCACACACACACACCCGACTTCCCAGAGCAAAAACAGGGTATAACATTTAACAAATGTAAGCTAAAATAAAGTAACTTACTACAAGATTCAAAACTCCCTCACACTCTTTAATTCCCCTTTTAAAAATTATTCATCAACCTTTCTTTTATAAATTCTCTTATATATTTCACATTTGTTGCTAAGATCCTTTCCATACCTTCTTATCAATAAGACATTCTTCAAAATATAAATTTCAAAACTTTTTTTAAAAAAGAAACTATCCATTAAATTTTAAGTTAACCATTTTAATACTTCAATGTTTTAGAAAGCTATCCAATTTTAATTAAGCCTTTTTACTTCAATGAAACAGTAAACTTTAGTTTCAAAACTTTTTTTTAAAAAAACTATCCATTAACTTTTAAGTTAACCATTTTAATACTTCAATAAGTTTCAAAAAGCTATCCAATTCTAATTAAGCCTTTTTACTTCAATAAAACAATAATTATTACTAAAATCCTCCTCAAAAGAAATTAATCTTCCATTCTTCCTTTCTTTCTATATTTTTTCCAGTCCTTCTTCTTCAGTAATTCTTTCTTTTTCAGCATTGCTCCTCCTCCTACTTTTATTTTCGAAAATTTTGGAATTTTGATTTGAGGTTGATGTATCTTGAAAACTCGTTCTCTTCTTGGAATTATTTCCTCTGGTTTGAAACCCCCATTTTGACTCTTCCTGCTTATATAATCAGTTCATTCCTCTGTCTGAAGACCAAGAATTGTCACGATAAAATTTATCGGTTTGCAGTAAAGAGTCTACTTGTTGCTTTTCAATTAGTTGCATGGAAGCCTCTGCCAAAGCCTCTATTTCCGCTGTGCCAACCTCCATCTCAATCCTGACAGCCGCTTTTCAATCCTCCAAAGTCACATTATTCTGGTTAATTTCATCATCTTTTCCAGCCAGCAAATCATTGTTATTCTCCAAGTTATATTTTTGAAAAGTTCTATCAATTGATTCCAAGAAAGTTAAAAGTTCTTGAAAAACCTTTACAGTCACAACTTGTGAGTTTGCTGACTCACCAGACAATGATCCTCCAGCCCTAATGTCAGCCATATTTCAATCTTCACTTTATATTTATTCAGCTATCAGGTCAATAAGTCCAACTATTTTCCGCACAATTTAGAAATGTAAATTAGTTGAAGTCAATACCATAGTCTTTTCCATTCCGCTTCCACTTTAAATCTTTTTCTTAATGTGTAATCCAGTAGCTTTAACAATGTTACAAGCGTTAAGAAGCACTTTCACTAGTAAGTTTCGTTTTCACGCCCTCAGACGTCATTATTTCCCTTTTTAAACGGAGTTAAAGATCAGTACTTGCGTTCTTTGTTCTCCTGATTTGCTTTGCCAGCATCCAAAGTCCAAATTGCTTATAATCCTTAAAATTGCATTGCTGGTATGGTCGCGACGCCTCGGTCTGCATAAAGCAGACTCATCCCGGATCTGGAGCAACTGAAGGACTTTCAGGGAGCTCTCACCCTGCAAACCCCAGGCTTAAAAAGAAAAACCTGGGGGTCTAGGGGAGCTCTACCCAGACCTTTCTGCTCTTCTCTCCCCCTTTTTCCCTGGGGGAGAGTTTCGAGCCGCTAGACAGCTGATTTTCGCTGTTCTAGCGGCTAACGGAATCACGGGGCTGGAGCTCCTGAAGGAGTATCCATCGGCGTTCGCGGAGCCACAGGAAGTCCAACCTTATATCTCTTAACATCACCTAAGCAGGGCAAGAAGCTACAAAGGACAATTAAAATCTGGCTGTCTTAAATTTCCCCTCTCTTTAGCATCACACAAGCTCTTATGTTTAACTCTTCAGGTTTTTTTTCCCCTCCTGTTGCACGTATCTGTCCCAGGGGCTGGGACCCCTAATTTAGTGCAATATAAAAAATGCAAATAATTTTTCTGCGGACCACCAAAATTTTCTCGCGGACCACCAGTTGGTGACTGTTGCTCTAAACTACTCCAAGTCACTATTTTGTTCATAATGTATAAAAACTTTCAGCATGGGTAGTGGCAGGAGGTGGGGGGGATAATCAATTGCTTTGTTATTTGCTTCTTCTGAATGAAATATTATGGAAAATTAGAGGCAGTGTACATCCTGGTCCAATGTATGGATGAAGTGATGATATGAATGAGACCCAATAGAATCATAAGGTTGGAAGGGATCTTGGAAGTCTAATTCAATCTAATTGAATTCTGAGAAGATAGAGGCTTCATTGACAGAGTTATTCTGGAGTATGGGAATTAAGGAGCTTACTGTTCTGTAAAGCAAGTACAGTAAAGCAAGTACAGTAGTTTCTATTCATGGTTTTTTTTATTAGGGACTTACTGGAAAAATATTATTGCAGAATTTTAAGTATGTATGGCAATCTCTTAGACTACCTGTTAATAATAACAATTGGACTGCTATATATATTCACAGTAGAGTGCTAACCAAATTTAAGCAGGAACAATCCCCTTAACATTCAAAATATTGTACAGTAAGTTGAGCTAAACTACTGATTTTTGGGGAAGAAAGGAATTGGTTAGAAGAAATGAAAATGATCCAAATAGATCACAGATGTCCAAGTGTAGCATAAAATATTAAGTGTCAATTAGCAGCTGAGAAAAAAGGGGAAGGGGGGTTATTTATCCTGTTAGGTTTGTTTGCATTTCATTCTAGTATAAGATTCATTTTATTAATCTGTATATGTAACATCTATGTATCATTTTCCTTTTTTCTCTTTTGTTTTAGCTTTTCTTTTTTATTTGATTTTTTTTAAAAAATAGCTGGACTGAAGCAGTCCTCAGATAATGCCTGAGATAGATAGATAGATAGATAGATAGATAGATAGATAGATAGATAGATGATAGAATAACAATAACAAAGTAGAAACTTGCAGTTTTATAGAGCTAATTTGCTGTACATATTAGGGTTCTCTGAGCTTCCAAAATTCAATATAAGGCAGTGCCTTTCCAGCAACCAATTAATTGACACCTCCTAGGAAACCTCCAATCACCAACCCGCCCTCCAGTTTCAAAACTTACGCAGATTATAAAGTCTGCATGGCAAGGGGAGCTTCTGAATTGTACTAAGGAAGCCTTCCTTTGAATACAGGGCAAAATGTCTGCAGAAAACCTGATTGATATTTTGATAGTGATCTTCCAAAGCCTGGGGGACTTGACTGCTAAGTATATATAGTGGTAACTGGTAAACAATGTATGTGATCAAAAAGCATAGTCAAAAGACCAGTGGCAGAAAACATCACTGTACAAAGATTGTGTATGTCACTGATACACTGGTGAAGTTCAGATAGAAAAGCTCTACAGGACATAGAATAGTTAATTGATCAATGCTTCATTTCACATGGCATCACTTGGATTTCTTTTTTGAAATTACAGCAATATCCTGATTATTATGCAATAATTAAAGAGCCCATAGATTTGAAGACCATCGCTCAGCGGATACAGGTGCAGTATAAATTTGGCTGTATTGCCTTGAACATAGTGAATATCCAGAAGGTGAAGCAGTTTTGAAAAGAAATGTTTGGAGTAATGAAATTCAAAGCTACATGTTTGCTTTTAGGTTATAGCTTTCTTAGATTAATTATAACTTTCAATGTACTGAGTTTTAAAATTATATTTATAAATAATGGAAATGTTTAATCTATCGGTATGGATTAACCTACTGACCTGTTGTAAAAATTTACAAAACATTGGACAAAATTAGCTTAGAGATTGTTTCCTACCATTGTTTTCTTGTTTTCTGAAAGAACTTATTTAGTGACATTTTTCTTAACTTTTTTATTTTTGTTCTTTTTATTTATATGGTAAAAATTACTTTTATATAGTGTGCTTTTATTTCTAATTATATATTACTTTATCATAATGTTTGTATAGATTATGTAAATGACAGGAAAACTTTGAAGTTCAAAAAGCAAAGTTTTAAATCATACTTATTAAATGTGAAAACAAACTCTCAATTTTTTAAATTTGCTTTTATTTGTAGAATGGAAGCTATAAAAGCATGCATGCAATGACCAAGGATATAGATCTATTAGTTAAAAATGCCAAAACTTATAATGAACCAGGATCTCAAGTATTCAAGGTTGGTTAAAAGAGTTATTTGGTTAATGTAGATAACAAGATAAATGTTTGATTCCAGTTACAAGTTCTTAAATACATTTCTACACACTGTATGGATTAAATAAAATTAAATGATAGTGATTTTTAATCATAAATATGATTATGGCTTTCACATAACATTTTTTTTACCAATGAATCGTACCAACTTTAATAGAGTCCATGCCACTTGCAGCATTATATGCTAATGACAAGGTTAATATTTAGGAATATTTTGGCCAGTATGCCACAAGTTGAATCAAAGCCCACTTTTAGCCCAAACTTGTTTGTTATTTTGATTTTTAATCTAAAGACTACTTTGCAAGCCAGCATACTTTTGTCTGTAATCAAGCCAACCGTGTAAACAAGATAACTTACTGCATCAGTCTATCCTTGCAGAATATTCTTTTTTAAACTTTATTTAAAGATTCCTTTTTTACTTCCTTTAACAGGATGCAAATGCAATAAAGAAAATATTTAATATGAAAAAGGCAGAAATTGAGCATTCAGAACTAACTAAATCAAGTCTCCGAGTCAGGTATTGTAAGCAGAATAGAAATATAGAAAGGTATTGATATTTTCTTTTTTAGTTAAAATTTTAACTTTTATGTGTTAAATATTAAAATTATCTGTAGCACTGAATTGTGGAGAAATAGGGAAGTTCGTAAAAATGTATATTAAAGAATATGTCACAGTATTATGATCTGATGCAAGATCTGATTTAAGATTATATTAAGTAGACATGACACCACATGTTTTTTAATATGATGAATTTAATCTGCAGTTCAAGGATAGTGAAGATCTGTGTTACTATTTCTTAGTTTTGATTTTTTTTAAAAATTGGGAAACATGGAATATTAAATGCTCCTATTATTAGGGCTATGCATAACATTCAAACGAAGTGTATTTGCAATGTATAGGACCAGTTCATTGCAGAAGCCTGTCAGACAATATGGCTGTTTTATTAATTTGCTTCTGCTCTCATATGTTGCAATGCATCTCTTTCGACAGACACCCTCTTAATCTGTCTGTCCACTTTTCATAGGTTTCAACTTTCTTAGTGAATTTATGTCTAGATTTTCCCATATATTCTATATCTATATACTGGCTGGGTAATTCTGGGAATTGAAGTTCATACATCATAATGTTTACTAAGATTGAGAAATACTGGTTTATATTATATAGTCCAAGCTGAGTTATTAAGTTACATTATGAATGAGATCAGCAAAAAAAAAAAAAAGATGCAAAGTTTTAGAATTTAGTATTTCTTCCTAATTGTTGAACAGATTTGAATATATGAAAAATTGTTCACTAACATTTTTCTTTATGTTTTCTGAACTATGAAATAGCAGGCTTTAGTTATTTCTGTATTGCATAATTTGTTTTAAAATTGATCTCAATGTGTTTTTTTAATCTTTTGTCTTTAAAACTTAGTACAAAACACCCCAGCATCAATTAAGAGTGCTTTTACTTAATATATACTTGCAATATGATATACATTTTCTCTGGAGTTAAAATAACATAGTACTTAAAACTGACACTACTGTTTTTCCATGCATTCTTGACTCTGAAATCAATTGGATTTACTTCCAATAGATGGAATAATTTAACTTTAAAAATTAGCCCTATTATTATGCCTAAAATGTGTTGATTTTACAAACCTTAGTAATATTCAACCATATACTTATCTGTTTAGTGCAATGGTAGTCTTTTGTAGCTTTCAAAACTTACATAAAAGAGCTGAATTTTAATTGTGTATAATCTTGGCTTTTTGGTGGATTTCTTCTTTTCACTGTCTGTGCCTTATTTTTTCTCCAAAAAGGACTGCAAATCTGACTGCTTCCAAGCTAACAAGCCCTTCCTCACAGGGTAAAGGCAGTGTTGTTGATGAAAGAAATTCTGCTAATAAATATTACCGGTGAGTCCTTAGTATCTAGATATAGTTCAATCAGTTAATCTTTTCAACAGGTTGGTTTACCCCTTAAATATTGTTAGCTTTATATGTATGTAGCAAAAAGTAAGCATTTATTTTAAAAATAAATGCCAGAAGTATGGCCTCATTTGGTAACTTCCATCATTATAAATATTTATGGTTTTAATAGAGATGTATTACGTTGCTTTTTATCAAAGTTATAATTGCTAATTAGGAGCTGCCCAGAGTTTAATATAAGATGGGTGGCTATATAAATGTGTTAAATAATAGATGGTTCATGTATTGTAGGCATCAGTTTCCTTTAAATATTCTGAATGAGCTCACTATCAAACTACCCACAAAGGAAGGTGAATCTGTACCAGCTTCTACTTGTGTAGCTTCAGAACTCTCAATTGATCCAATTATTGTTTGTTTGCTTATTTATTTTTTTGCTGGTAGATGACTGGATTTTTAAATTATAATTGAAAAGCCAATAGTGCTCTCTTCAGATTGCTTTGAGAAGTTCTCTTTTCTTCAATTACTATCATCTGTATGCTATAGAACTTTCCTGACAACTGCCAGGGATGAGGAGCATGTGCAATAATCACCTATTGGTTGTGTCATAGAAAAGGTCATATCAAATTTAAACATGAAATATTTCCCTGCAAGGGATTGGTATAGTTATGTTTTCTGAATTTGAACAAGCCAAGCTTGATACTAACTCACTCAGTGCAAAGAGCCAGTATTGTAGAAATTAGGGGTCTGTAGTGCATCAGGCAGATTAATTGTCTTGCTAGCCGGCTCACTGAACCCAAAAGATAAGAGGATGATGGATTACCTGCTTTAGTTTGAAATCAGAGTTGCTATGTTCCATCAGTTAGTAGATTAATCAAATGAACATTGTTAAATTTATTATAGACAGCCTTATATAATAAATTGTAGGTGGCAGATAGGATGTTAGAAAAAAACTTCACTGTTCATATTAGGAAGGGATTAATGCCTCTCTTAAGATGACATTTATAACCTAAAATACCATACAAAATAAGCAGTTCCTTAAAAATAGTGTACTTTCTATGATTTAATAAATATCTGGATTTTTTAATATTGTAGAGCATTACATCAATTATGAAGAACTTCATAGATTTTGCTCTGTGCCTTCCTTATCAGCTTAAAAATGGTTCTTCATAGATGAAGTTCTTTATTGCTGAAAATCTGATTCAGTTTAAATGAATAAGAACGTACCATATTTTTCGGAGTATAAGATGCACCTTTTCCCTCTGTAAAAGGGGGTGAAAATTTGGGTGCATCTATACATCGAATGTAGCCCCGCCCACCCACTGACCCCCACCCTTTGGCGTCTGCCTCCCAGCAATTTACCTCCTTGCAGCAAGCAGCAAGAAGAAACAGCCCATTTCAGCTTCAGCACAGCCTAATTAGCACAAATTGATTGCCTCCTGACTCTCAACTGGCTGCAGGGATTGCCATTGCCTATTGCTGCGTGGGCCTCTGCTGCTTGCTGCAAGGAGGTAAATTGCTGGGGGCAGATTTTTTTTTTTTTATGCTAAGCAAGCTATGCTGAAAACAAAAATGAAAGTAAAGCAGGCTATTTGCTGTTTGCTACAATGAGGCAAAATTGCTGGGAGGCAAGAGGCAGATTTCTTTTTCTTGTTTTCCTTACCAAAAAAGGTAGGTGCGTCTTATAGTCCGGAGTATTTTATACTCTGAAAAATACGGTAATATGTCTGCCTTTTACCTGTTAGTTCTAAATAGCAGCAATTATTTTATATGTTGCACTTTCCATGACAATTAAAATACAGTAGATACAGTATTTATAAAAGAACTCATAAATCATAAAATATAAAAGTTAATTATTTTAACTGTTGCTTAAAATAAAGCACAATGTACAGTATTTGAAAACATCAGAGTTATGATTTTGGTTAGAGTTAACAAACTCAAGTTCCATAATGTGAGAAACAATACAGTATTGCCAGATAAATACTAACATGACTCTCCTACAATGTAAACTAGGTATATTATTCAGGTAAGAATGTCCAGGCTCTCCATTCCTTTTCCTCATTGTTCAGGAAAAAGGGAATGTTCATCTAAATCAGTGGTTTCCAATGTGGCGCCCACACCCCACAGAGGGGCAATTTGATTTTTAATGGGGGAAATTTGGAACCTTGTTTAAGCCAAGCTAATGGCCTTTTAGGCTTCCTCTGAGTGAGTAGGAGATCATTTTTGAATAGTAAGAATTATATGTCACAGGGAAGGGCATCAGGATTTTAGAGATGCTTAGGTGGGGCATGGCCAAAAAAAGGTTGGGAACCACTGATCTAAATCTAATGCATTTACTTTCTCAGTAGAATTCCTTTCAGTTCCCCTTTTTAACTAACTCGGTAGAAAGTACACATTTCTCTCAAAGACCAAAGAAAATTACCCATGTCTACGTATCCATCATGAAGCAAACTCAACCTTTTTCTTCTTCTTTTGTACCTCTCAGGAAAGAAAAGAATTGACCTACACTATAGCTGTGTTGAAATATTGAGCTTGCTTTGGACTAAGTAGCATGTAATATCAAACATATTCCTTTTCTTTTAAGGTAGTGTAGCAATAGTGCTTAAGAATATTGTCCCAAAGGCTACTGTATTATTTTCTCATCTGGCTTTCAAATCCGTCAGAAAAGGAACCTTACATAAAATGAAAATGTCTACATTTTTGACTTATAAAAGTTGCCAAGTGTCAGGGCCGAAAACCAAGGAAGACACATGGTGATTCTTCCAAGCTAAATTCTCTATTGTTTCACATGCATAGATATAATCTTGCCAGATTGAGTACTCTACTATCTGCATCTACAATATACTTCATAAACTATTAGGGAGAGGCTGTCTTCACCTTCTTTGTCTCACACATAATATCTTGATTGAGTTGCCTCTCTCTGAAATGCATCCCCTCCCTCTTGGGAATCCACTATTTTACAGTATGTTAAACTTGCAAGAGACTTCTAGAAAGGCAAAAGAGCCTTGCGTTAGCCCAGCATAGAGATTCTGTGTTTATAATAAAAAATAAACGTTCATAGCAAGAGCTAACCTTCAGTTCTGCCTGTATTTGCTATACTGTGCCAGTATAGCTACCATTTTAAAAGTAGATGCATATACTCCCGTTCTCAGGGATTTTTTCATTTATTACCTGTCTTTCCTTTAAAAATTCACAGTAACAAAAGAGCTGTACAAGGCGATCGTTTATCAGCAATAACCATGACACTGCAATATGGATCTGAAAGTGATGAAGATGCTGTTTTAGCTGGTAGGAATTGAAGAAGCATTGTTCATATCTGCTAAGAAATTTGTATTCCATTTGTTTTTCTTTGAGATTAGAACTTTGTTTAAAAATATGAGATATACATTCAAATGTTGTCATTTTACGAATTGAAATTATTAAATCCCACTCACACTTCGGCTCTCTTTAGTCAATTTAGAACATATGAACAGGGAAAGGAGAAAAATACAGTAACGACATATGTTTCTGTTCGTCATTTCTAGCTGCTGCCCGTTATGAAGAAGGAGAATCTGAAGCTGAAAGTATTGCTTCATTTATGGATACATCCAATCCTCTCTATCAACTTTATGATACAGTTAGAAACTGCCGAAACAATCAGGGTCAACTTATATCGGAACCCTTTTTTCATTTGCCCTCAAAGAAAAAATATCCTGATTATTATCAACAAATCAAAATGCCTATTTCATTGCAGCAGATCAGGTAAAATGGTATTCTGCATTTTTACATATTTTAAATTTGTTGTTTTAAAAACAGAAAGGAAAAAATATTCTAAGATACTATGCCATTACTATAAATACCAAAATAATTCTATTTATTTATTTTTTTTGTTTATTTGATTTTTAAACCATCCAACAATGAAGACCCTAGGTCCATGATGGCGAACCTAAGGCCTGTGTGCCAGAGGTGGCACGCAGCGCCCTCTGTGGGCACGTGAGCCGTCGCCCCAGCTCAGTTCCGCTGTGCATGTGCACGCGCCTCCCGCCAGCCAGCTGGTCTTCGGGTCTCTGCCGTGGATGCGCGGGGGCGGGGTGCATATGTATAGGGATGGGGCGCATGCGCAGGGGGCATGTGGGGGTGGAAATGCATGCACAGGGGCGCACATGCATTGCATTTTGGGGGTTTAGGCCTGTGCATGCACATTCGTGCACGCACGCTTTGGGCACTCGGTCCGGAAAAGGTTAGCCATCACTGTCTTAAACCCTCAGGTAGAAATTAAATGTGAGATTGGGTGAAAAAATATTTTGTACTATACAAAAAAGAATTTTTTGCAGCAGAGATAAAAGATTGTCTTTTCTACAGAACAAAACTGAAGAATCACGAATACGAAACCCTTGACCATTTGGAATGCGATTTAAACTTGATGTTTGAAAATGCAAAGCGTTATAATGTTCCAAATTCAGCCATTTATAAGAGAGTTTTGAAAATGCAACAGGTTATGCAGGTAAAATTCGCACTCTGTCTCTGGGGCTTATATTCAAAGGGGTTAGTATTTGGTTCATTCATTATCTAAACTGGCAGAAACTATTGTCTTTAAAAATCTTTTTTTCTCTACTTAGTAATGAAAATTGTTCCCAATGTTTAATTGAGCATCATCTTACACACTTTCTCAAGGATCACTTTTAGTGGTCCTATGCTGGTTAATGTTAATAAATCATTATGTGATGGTATTTTTAAGCATAATTTTACTAAATTAATTGTTGTAGAATGGTTTATTTAGGTAAAGGTCCAATTTAATGTTTTCCCATGATACAAATGAACTAGACATGCTTTATTTGAAACTTTTCCTCAACGCATGAAACTGATATTTTTATCCTTGCAGAATAAATGTAGCTGTTTAATATTCATGCATTTTAACATATTCAATCATGTGAATTGGATCTATGATTGGTTACATTTCAGACAAAGAAGAAAGAGCTAGCTAGAAGAGATGAAATTGAGGATGGAGATAGTATGATATCTTCTGCCACATCAGATGCTGGGAGTTCAAAAAGAAAAAGGTATTTGCTACTAGTATATATATCTGTGTTTGGGACAACAGTAGTTTGCTTTAACTCTCAATTATTCTCACCAAGTATCTCATCAGTAATGTCTTTAATACAAAAAAATGCATAGCTTAATTATCTGCTATATTCTGTTGAAATTGTGTACAATCTTTCCTTTTAAACACAATACATAATTCTGAGAAGCATAATTTATAGAACTATGCAAAGTATTAGAAAGAGCTCCTCAGTTTAAAAAAAATGACACAAATCACTTTTCATAGAAACACTAAAATAATTGTGTCTTTTGAAAATCTGCTACAATTGCTTCAGAAGCTAAACCTGCATAATTGTATGGGCACATCTTTGCTACATAAGTATTGTCTGTGCAAAAAGACACACACAGAGAGATAAACAAAAACAGCTTTCAAAGCAGCCATGAAAGTCTTACAAAGAATTGTACTTACTTATCTTTAAATTGATGTATGTGGCTGCTAATCTCACAAATGTGAGTGGCTAACAACACATTAAAACAGTTTTAAAAAATTGTCAGGAATGAAGAAAAACCAGTAAATGGTCACTGAGGGCAAACTTAAAACAAAATAATTAACATAGAGCTTTCAGCTGGCCATCTCACCATGTACGTTGCACATCCAGGCCCTCAATGCTTTACAAAAGGCCAGCAGGGTCAGAACAATCTGATTTTAGGAAGTTTGGCAAGTGATGCAACTGGTTCCATAAGAGGGAGTGGTTTTGCATGTCCCATGCAATGGTGCTGTTAGCCCTGGAGCCCATCTGACAGGTGAGACTTTTAGGGAACAACTAGTACCTTGAATGCTACTGGAAAGTACATGAGTCCATTGTGGCTTTTGGAGCAGAAGTATAAAATGGAAGTATTGAGGTGTTCCTATAATTGCCCATGCTGTTGCAGTTTCCAGATGGCCTTCATGGGCAACTCCATCTAGAATGCATTACAATGAATCCGCTTAGGAGATGATTATGGCATGAGTCACTCCTTTTTACTTTATTTATTCATTTATTCATGAATACATACTCTAGATAATATATAATCTAATAAATAGATTTTCATTGAAGAAAACAACAAATGATTCTGGTTGCATAGACCAAGATTAAAGTAGTCTTTTTCTCTCTCTTTAAACTGAATAGTAAGAAGAATATAAAGAAACAGCGAATGAAAATCTTATACAATGTTGTTCTTGAAGCACGAGAACCTGGAACAGGCCGAAGGCTGTGTGAGCTGTTTATGGTGAAACCTTCCAAAAAAGACTATCCAGATTATTACAAAATTATTTTGGAACCAATGGATTTAAAAATAATAGAACATAATATCCGTAGTGACAAATATGCTGGAGAGGAAGCTATGATAGAAGATATGAGGTTAATGTTTCGAAATGCGAGGCATTATAATGAAGAAGGCTCACAGGTATACCTGAAGGAAAGATATTTAAAAAGTTATCCCTATTTCCCTTAGCTTACTCTGTAAATTACCATAAATAAAACCTATTTTGGAGTTTTAGTATATGAATTTCACAATATTTTTTATACTTGTGTAGGTCTCCTTGTGTAAGTTTTGTTCGAAGCTGCCTATACATTTTTAAAGATCTTAACCATGAGGGTTTTTTGTTTTGTTTTTTTGGCAAAGGATAGGATACAAATGGTTGCAGTTACTAGGATTGTTTAGTCCTTTAGAAATAATTCTCAGTGTATTGCATCAGATTATTGTTTGCAATCAAATTATTGCTTGATAGTAATCTGCAAATCAGTTTATCATGTTGATTCTGAAATAATAGATTACAGTGGTACTTCGGTACTCTAATTGGTTCCAGGAGGTGCAATGAGTACCAGACAGATTTTTCCCATAAGGAATACTGTAATAAGTCACAAGGCAGCCAACACAAACAAGTTCTAGCTTGTGTGGTGAGAACCAAACCAACGGTGAGTGCCGCGTCAAAATACAGTTTCAAACCAGTTGAGTACCATGATACCACTGTACCAACCAGGCTACTTGCTACTAGCAATTTTACCTGCATGAACTTTTAAATGCTATCCTTCTTTAATAGCAAAGATTAATAGCAGATTCGATGGATTATTTAGCTTCTCATTGGTCCTGAATCATTCAGCTTTACAGTACTGGTTTTGGGTATTTTAACAAAAAGGATTAAAAACAAGTTCCTATCTACTTTTTTTACATTATATGTAACTTTGTAATACTTTCTTTAGGATATGAAATAACCAGTATTGTGAACATGGAACATAAGAATCTAATGAATAAAATTTTGGAATGAGCCTCTAAATCTCACTTAAGGCCTTTCACATTATACATACTTATTCTAGAAAGATGCTCTTAGATTTACATTTAGGGGGCTAGAGTAGGCCTACCTGCTGCCAATTTCTTAGTACAATTTAAGGAATAATACTTTAACCCTTAAATATATTATACGTATTTATTAATCAGCCTCCTGGCCATTACCATTCATGCCATTAATGGATATGTACACCAGTGCTAGCTAAAACACCAAGTTTACATGGTTAAAAAGCATATTTACATATAAATTTGTTGCTTTATACATTTTAATTATGAATTAATTTTTTTTTTATGATTAATAGGTTTACAATGATGCTCATATTTTGGAGAAAATTCTTAAAGAAAAAAGAAAAGAATTGGGACCTCTGCTTGAAGATGATGAGATTGCTTCCCCTAAATTAAAGTTAAGTAAGTAATGCTGGTGAATTTTTATTTGAATAGGTAATGTTTATACTGTGGATGGAAAGCTTGTTGCATAATTGAAATAGGTTATTTGAAATACAAACTGAATATATTTGTAAACTTTTGCTTTCTTTTTAAATATAATCGAGAAAGATGCATAAACAAAAATCAATGAGTTAATAACATCTGTTAGCAACAGCAATAGCTCTTAGACTTATATACCACTTCATAGTGCTTTATAGCCCTCTCTAAATGGTTTACAGAGTCAGCATATTGTCTGCAACAATCTGGGTCCTCATTTTACTGACCTTGGAAGAATGGAAGGCTGAGGCAATCATGAGCCAGTCAGAATTGAACTCCTGGCAGTGAGCAGTAAGTCAGCCTGCAATACTGCATCCTAACCATTGCGCTACCGTGGCTCTTGAGAATGACTGTTATTACTCATTTATTTTTGTTGTTTATGAATCTTTCTCAATTATATTGAATTTTTGCTTGCTAATCTTTTGCTTGTTTATAAATCTTTCTCAATTATAGTGAATCTTTTGCTTGCTAAGAGAGATAACTCACAGTATTAGGATCCTAATAATTTGATCCAAATAAACTACATGTATTAAATTCATATGCTAGATTTCTGGATATAGGACATTCTAACAACTAATGTTAGATTAAGGCAATGGTGGACAATAATCCAGCCTTCTAAGATTTCAGATAAATGATGTCTTCCAGAGACCGAGCTGCTCCCATTCTCATCCTTGAAAACTTGGAAAATACGCTAAAATGAGGCAAGACTCTAAGGCACTTTTGAGATTTTAGGGAAATACATTATAAGCAATGGTGGAATGCTGCCAGTTTAATAACCGGTTCGCTGAGCATGCACTTTGTGCTGAAAATGGAGCATTTAGAAGCTCAGCTGCTTACCTTCCAAGTCAGCAACGGTAAATAGAACAGCGAGGGGAGGGGAATCAGCTGTGCTGCATGATTGAGATGAACTAGAAAGCAGGGAATAAGGATAGGATAGGGTGGGGCCCGGTGGGCGGGGCCAGCTGATTGTTGGAGCTACCAGTTCGCCGGAACTGGTTTGAACCAGCTGAATTCTACCTCTGATTATAAGTGATATTTATAAAGAAGTAATTATTATTAAAACTGTGTTTTGTTTTAACTTTGTAGAATCATACTTGGCTTTAATAGCATTTACTGTAAACATTTAATACTGAACATGGCTTTAGTTAGTAATATAAATTGTTAATGATTGAGAGATAAATATTAGTTTTATAGTTAGTGGTTAGTGCCATGACCCAGAAGTTTCTAATGTTTATGAAACAGGACTCATACATAGGTTTTAGCCTTATTTTTTTGTGCAGTCAAAATTATATGTAATGAAGAATCTCTAGCTGTGGATATAATTATCTGTTAAATTCCTGTGATCATAGTGTCTAACAAGTATGCCTTTTACTTTTGACAAAAATAATGTGACCCTTGTAGTAGTTTTTCTCTCACTACTTTAAATATACCATGTCATGTGTTCCATTCTTAGCGAACATTTAGAGTATGTTATAAAGTATGAAAAGTCTTATCAATTAGATCTGTCTGATCAGAAATCCTATTAATATTTGAGCAACCAAAGTTGCAAATGGCAAAATTTAGCTTTATCTCCCTAGGTAGAAAAACTGGCATCTCTCCTAAAAAATCAAAATATATGACTCCAATGCAACAGAAGCTTAATGAAGTATATGAAGCTGTGAAGAACTATACAGATAAACGAGGTAGAAGACTCAGTGCTATTTTTCTACGACTTCCATCACGGTCAGAGCTTCCTGATTATTATCTGACAATAAAAAAGCCAGTTGATATGGAGAAAATCCGAAGTCACATGATGGCCAACAAATATCAGGATATTGATTCTATGGTTGAAGATTTTGTAATGATGTTTAATAATGCCTGCACTTACAATGAACCAGAATCCTTGATTTACAAAGATGCACTTGTGCTACATAAAGTTTTGCTTGAGACTAGAAGAGATATAGAAGGGGATGAAGATTCTCATGTCCCAAATGTAACTCTGCTGATTCAAGAACTTATACATAACCTTTTTGTCTCTGTAATGAGTCACCAGGATGATGAGGGGAGATGCTATAGTGACTCTTTAGCTGAAATTCCTGCTGTTGACCCTAGTTTCCCAAACAAGCCTCCTTTGACTTTTGATATCATACGAAGGAATGTAGAGAATAATCGCTATAGAAGATTGGATTTGTTCCAAGAACATATGTTTGAAGTACTGGAACGTGCAAGGAGAATGAACCGGTTAGTAGTATTTACTTTTGCTGTGACTATGACTAAAATAAAAAAAAGCCCTTTTTATAATAAAGCATTTATAAGACGTGGGAAATGATTGATTTATAAATGTTGTGAAGAAAATTCTTAATTTTTAAAAGCCTTCGAAGGTTTTACATGTCTATTTTGTGTACAAGCTTTGATTAAAAAATAGACTTCATTCTGATTGGAATTTTCTTGTGACATTTAGATTACTGCATTATCACTTAAAATAATACTGATATTTAGTTTTAGATGTTCCTCAGTAATTTAAATATTTTTAAAAAACTATTTAGATTGCAGTTTTTTTATTTCATTTCATTTTGACATTTCTCATTACATCCAAAGCAGGACCCGAAAAACAGCAGATGGAAATTCAAGTTATTACATTTTATATGTTAGCATTTTGCATATTATTCTTTTCCTTAAAGGACGGATTCAGAGATTTATGAGGATGCTGTAGAACTTCAGCAGTTCTTTATTAAAATCCGTGATGAACTCTGCAAAAATGGCGAGATCTTGTTATCACCAGCTCTTAGTTACACTACTAAACATCTACATAATGATGTAGAAAAAGAGAAGAAGGAAAAACTTCCCAAAGAAATGGAAGAGGACAAACTTAAAAGAGAAGAGGAGAAGAGAGGTAATTGTATGGTGTATATTGTGACACTTCTATTAATATATAATCATTTATAAGAGGAGATTGGATGAAGATTGATTTCTATTATCAATATAGTTTACAAAATGGTCACTGTAGAATAAAGAATAATTAATTATATAACTTTAAATATAGGGGAGTCTCTTTTAAAAAATCCTATCTTTATAATTCAGCTCTCATTTACCTTCAGGTTTTGATACTTTCAATGAAAATAATTTTAGTGATATTTCACAGTAATATATTTAAGATTAGTTGTTTGACAGCCACTTTTTTGCAGCATCAGTAACTCAGCTTCTTCAAACTAGCTGTACAGAAGATAAGAATAGTTTTGTGTCAAGTTGTTTGTATAACCTCATATAGCTTCTCTATATTATCGATTCAGAGAGTATATCAGTAAGACCACAGCCTGACTTCAGGCTAGATTTGGAATTCAAGTTTTCTTTTTTTTTTCTTTTCTTTTTTTAAGTTTTATTAACATAAACAAACATAAAACACAAATACATGTAAACACTTATACATTAACAAAGAGTCAATCGACTAACTTCTAGAAAACCTTCGCATCGGTGATTAATGTCCATTTAACCAATTTTCCTTAATCATACTATTTACAAATTCACTTGCTTATACCTTGATATATTCATTGAAGTTCAGCAGTATCTTTCTACAAACATATTAACCATTTATTTATACAATCCTACGGCTCATCTCATGTATCTATTTCTGCAATTCTTGAGTTATGTTCTCCTAATGTCCTATGTTGTTGGCCCTATCCTTCTGGAATTCAAGTTTTCTTACTGTGTTGGATTTATGTAAGATTAGATATGCAAAGACAGTGAGTAGCCTACAACGGGGAAATGATTAAGCTAAATTTATTCTGGTAAATATACAGACTAAGATATCAGGCTAGAAACCAGATGACTCTGAGTTCTAAATCCCTCACAAAGCCAGCAGGGTCAGTCAGTCCTGTCATTTTCTCTCAGTCCTAGGAAGGAGGCAGTGGCAAAACCACTTCTGAAAAACTGCCAAGAAAACTGCCGGGACTTTGCCTAGACAGTCTTCAAGAATCGGACATAATTGAACAGAAGGAAAATAAATAGAATATGTTTAGCAGTCCATTAATATTTATGACTGTAGTAAGCTGGCATTTTGCTAATGCTATTTAGAAGACCAAAGAATATATTGTGATATAAGTGTTTGCAAATGCATGCAACTTCCCCTGTTCGCATTGCCAGTACAGCAACACTGTAAATAAAAACTCCATATTTATATTCTGAGCTAATTTACTGTATTTTCATTAGAGGAACAGACAGGCTTAACATGAAAATAATACGTTTGGGTTGATATTTTAATGGTAATATAAGCTATAATTAATAGCTATATAGCTTCTATATAGCTATAACAGATAGCTTCTATAATAAACTTATAGCTTATAACCAATATTACTGTTACACCTCTAATTTCCAAATACTTCGTTTCATCACAGGAGCCTTCATATCGTTCTCTGAATCACTTATCTGAGTGATCTTTGTCATGTGTATAATTCATTTGTGAAGAAATGGTTTATTAAAACTAAAATTTGCAAATCAACATGCTAAAAACTTGCAGTTCAATCATAGGAAGAGAAGTCTATCAGAATTATTTATACTGCCAGGTGGAAAGTGCCTTTACTGTGCATTTTTACCTCCACAGCCCCCCGCCCCCAAAACACAAAACTTTGGAAACTTCATCCATTATCATTCAGTGTATACTTTATTCTATTTGGGGGGAAATTGCTCTGTCCTGCTTTCTGGTAAGGCAAGACTTGATTCATGCATCATATTAGTGAATAAACTAATTGCTTGAATTTACTCAACATCAAAACCAAATAACCATGCTATGGTTAAATGTGATGTATAATGTCCCTTTCGCCTTACAGAAATTTGAATACAGGTAGTCCTCAATTTACGAACACAATTGAGGCCAAAATTTATGTTGCTTAGTGAGAAATTTGTTAAGTGAGTTTTGCCTCATTTACGACTTTTCTCGCCACATTTGCTAAGTGAATTACAGCAGTTCTTAAATTAATAACATGGTTGTTAAGTGAATCTGGTTTCCCCACTTGTCGGAAGGTTGCAAAAGGGGATCACATGACTCCAGGACACTACAACCGTCATATATGTGAGTCAGTTGTCAAGTATCCGAATGTAAACCACATGACCATGGGGATGTTGTAACTGTCATAAATGTGAAAAATGGTCATAAGTCATTTTTTTCAGTCCCATTTTAACTTCGAACGGTCACTAAGTGAACTGTTGTAAGTTGAAGACTACCTGTATTGCTTGAGATGGCTAGCATAAGTGATAAATGTTGGATATGGATCCAGCACTTAAATCCCACTTAAACATAAATTGATTTTGAAACAGTTATTAACCTTTGGTCCAATCTACTTCAAAAAGCTTTTTGGATAAAATGAGAAGAGACCTCCCATGTATATTGCCTTGAGTTTGTGGTGATAAAGTAGGATATAAATATACTAAACAAATAAAAATAAATTCGTTGAATAAAACTTTTCAAGAAAAAGACCATCCAGCATCCCCAAAGGCAGCACGCAAAATATTACAAAGTAAAGAGTCCTGTAAGCCCTTAAACTGAGTAGAAATAATTTCCCGTGCTTTCTTGTATGTTGAATAAGAAGCTGAAAAGAGTGAAGATACTTCTGGAGGATCAGGACTATCTAATTTACACAGAACATACAGCCAAGATTGCAGCTTTAAGAACAGCATGTACCATGTTGGAGACTATGTATATGTTGAACCTGCAGAAGCTAATTTACAACCTCATATAGTCTGCATAGAACGATTGTGGGAAGATTCAAATGGTAAGGAGTATTAGTTTTTGTAAAAAATGTTTTTAAGATTAAAAAACAACAACAACAAAGTACTGTATATATACCTTGATTTCAGAAAGATAACTAAAGTTTAATCATATAGAACCAAGGACAGTAGCTCCCATCAGTAATTTTATAATTTGAATATCTAGCACTATTCAAATAATAAAGTTCCTTGTATGATTGTTAAGACACCGTCATGAAGTTAAAATAGTAGGTTGATGGATTTTGAAATAATTCAGAACAAGAAACCATTGTCTGGGAATCAGCTGGTCCTTCATTTTTTATTCCTTTGGAGTGGTTCAGAGAAACAACTCCACCTGATTTCATTTCATATTCCCCTTTTGGCATGAAGAGGAGGTGGTTGTTGTCAAATTGTGTATGATTGGTATAGGTTCCTGTTGCTGTTCTCTTTAGGATCACGGTAAACAATAACCTCTTTTTTTAACTTGAGTTCCTTCACAGGGAACTTATCATTGATTCATTCATAAAATTAAATGTAGTTGTTACTTCTAGTGTTACTTCTTTTAAGGTGGGTGCAGGCTCAAAAGTTGTCTACTTTTTTTTCAAATTCATCCAAATACTTTGAGTGTACTAATTCTGAAGATAACAGACATAAAATAATATATTTCATTGGCTAGATATATTCTGTGCAAAGCTTCAGACAGCTACCAGAAGAACACTATAATTGTCTAATATAAAGTGACCTTAAAATTATTATGATAGTTTTCTACTATAACTTTATTTTCTGTGGGTGCTAAACTTTATCTTGTTTTTAGGGGAAAAATGGTTATACGGCTGCTGGTTTTATCGACCAAATGAAACATTCCATCTTGCCACCAGAAAATTTTTGGAGAAGGAAGTGTTTAAAAGCGATTATTATAACAAAGTTACAGTGAGCAAAATTCTAGGCAAATGTGTGGTTATGTTTGTTAAGGTGAGAAGAATCTAATTTAACTGATTTTCTATTTGCCTCTTACATTTGGGAATGGAACAAATGGGGAAACTGGCCCTGTCATTGTTGCCTACAATTTCTTCTAGCATGACAGTGCTGGGGTTATTTAGCAATATCTGGAGAGTCATAGTGTCTCTCTATAGAAAGTAAATTGTAAATAGTGTCTAATTTATAGAAGTTAAGACACAAGTGATTAGGGGAAAAATAGTTTATTTGAAGGAAGAGAGAGAGGATAATGGGCACTAGTTCAAGTTGGGATTTTTGACAAAGAGGTTCAAAAATTCCCCTTGTATTGTAATGGATGTTTTGTAAGAGAAAAAAGAGAAAAAGCCATGTTTGTTTTGAGTTTCCTGAACGTAGCCTTATCCCTCTATATAACTAAAACATTTAGGTTTGGAGTGGCTTCTAATACTGTGGTACTAGATTATAAACATACTTCATGGGAAGACAAAGGCTCAGGAATAGGACAAGATAGAATCGGTGGGCGGGGGGGAATCCTTTCTCATTTGTTAAAACTCAACACTGCTGTCCCCTTGAGAGGCCTGAATTGCAAAAAGCATCCGTTTAATTACTCTATTCGATAGTGTTTTAATAAAATGCTGGTCGTTTTCTGCTCTGTATGTTTGTGTGTATTGCCCTAATTTTCATTTCTTTCTATCTTGCAGGAATATTTTAAGCTATGTCCAGAAAACTTCAGAGATGAAGATGTCTATGTTTGTGAATCACGTTATTCTGCAAAGACAAAGTCTTTTAAGAAAATTAAATTGTGGACTATGCCAATTAGTTCTGTACGATTTGTCCCTCGAGAAGTGCCCTTACCTGTAGTTCGTGTTGCATCAGTGTTTGCTAATACAGACAAAATTGACGAAGAAAAACATGCTGAAACATCGGAGGATACCAAAATTGGAGATAGCATTCTTAGTCTTGAAAAGGTATTTATTTAACGGGAAAGAGTTATTAAAGTGGGAATGTGAGTACCTTAAATTTATTTGGAGATGGACAATTCTGACTTTTTGATAGACTTCCCATACATTTTGATATTTTCATTATTTTTAGAGGCAAAAGGAATTGTATGTGTAGAGATAAATAAAAGTAATTTATACAGCATATATTGGACATCTATATGGACATTGGTGACCCTGCATAAACATTGCCTCTGGGTGTTGCAGAAGATTCCCAATAAATATTCTTTAATATCAATTGCATTACATTTCCTAGTTCATAAATATTTCTGTATTTCAGGATAAGGAAGATGTTCCAGTAGACATGTCAAATGGAGAACCTGCCTGTCACTACTATGAACAGCTTTGTTACAATGACATGTGGTTAAAAGTTGGAGATTGTGTCTTCATAAAATCACATGGTTTAGTCCGACCAAGGGTTGGCAGGTACAACTTTTTTTAAAAAGTGGTATAAATGTATAACAGTGGCTTGTATTGGGGTTGGTCTTCACCTAACAACCAGTGAGATTTGCTTAACAACTGCAGTGGAGAGAGCAGGGATTGCCATTGCTAAATGATGCAGTCACATGATGGCTCGCTTTACAACTGCATTGCTTAGCAACAAAGGTTCTGGTCCCAATTGTGGACATAAGTTGAGGAATACCTGCAGTTGCAGAATGTACGACAGCAAAAAGGAGTAAAACTGTCATATAATGCATTAATATCCTGAAGAAGATCTGTGTTTGGTTGATAAGAGTCAACAATGTTTTAAGTGCATAGTCAATCAATACAATAAGTGAAAGTAAATGTTAAAATTGAATTTGAAATACTTTGAAGCAGTGGTTTTTTTGTCTTTTCAGAATAGAAAAAATGTGGGTTAGAGATGGAGCTGCCTATTTCTTTGGTCCAATTTTTATTCATCCAGAAGAAACAGAACATGAGCCAACTAAAATGTTTTATAAGAAGGAAGTATTTTTGAGTAACTTGGAAGAGACTTGCCCAATGACATGCATTCTGGGTAATTAAACAATAAAATTAATTTTATTACTTTGTTTCAAATTGTACAGCTAAAAAAATGGTCACTTCTTTATATTAATAAAATTACTGCAAAATAAAGTTATATAACAATGACATTTCTTTAAAAACTAAGTTTTAGTTTATTAACAAGAAAGAAGAAATGGACTCTGTAATTCATCTAGCTCTTTTCTAGAGAAGCAACTTTTTGGAATGTTGGACAGCAGATACAGTTTTGTGTCTGCATTAAGGATACTCATTTGGTATCTGTTGAATCAATGACAGCATCAAGAGCTACATGTCATATTCGGAACCAATAGTTGTTTGCAGCACATGTGACATTAGTTGCTGTATTGGCTTATGAGTTCAACTAATCACCCTGATTGCTCCACACATTTTGACATTTCAAAATTTTCAGACATATTACAAATGCTATGCTATACATATTAATGAATAAAATACAGCTATTTATTATCCTCTCTTTCAGGAAAGTGTGCTGTGCTGTCTTTCAAAGACTTTCTTTCCTGTAGACCAACTGAAATCCATGAAAATGATGTTCTTCTCTGTGAAAGTCGCTATAATGAAAGTGACAAACAGATGAAAAAATTCAAGGGACTAAAAAGATTTTCTTTGTCTGCTAAGGTAGTAGATGATGAAATTTATTATTTCAGGTAAAATGTATTTTAATTTTTTTAAAAAATAATCTAATTTAGTTGATTTTACAACAGAGAAGAATACCTCTTCCCAGCACTGCAGAGATTGTAGAAATACTGTAGCTAACAATATTCAAGGTGATTTAGAGGTCCAGCAGATCAATAAGGTTTTCTTTCCTTCCCATCAATTCCCACCATAAGGCATTGATGAGAGCAATCAGTGCAGTATCGGTTCCATACCCAGGACTGAATTCTGATTGGTATATACCATAAGGGGAAGTTGGACATAGGAGAATAGGTCTCCATTTGTCTTGGATCCAAGTCAGGCCCCTTAAAACGGAGTAGACCATTATCATTTTCAAAACTTTGAACTTTTCCTTTCCTCAAGTGAATGGACTGTTGCTTCTTCTCTGGTCCCATATGCAACTAAGAATTACAGAAGTCTAGCAATAGCACTAGCAGTAGCACTTAGACTTATATACCGCTTCACTGTGCTTTACAGCCCTCTCTAAATGGTTTACAGAGTCAGCATATTGCCCCTAACAATCTTGAGTCCTCATTTTACCAATCTCAGAAGGATGGAAGGCTGAGTCAACCTTGACATACACTGGTATATTGAGTGTGGGATCATGCGATTCTTCATCTGCTAACTCCTGTCAGTTCGACCTGCTAAATATGGACCATCAAAAATAACTTAACCTATTGTAAAATGCCCAAAATAAAATTTGAATTTTCTTTAAAATACAAAGTTACACTAACTGCAATCTGAGTGTTTTACTGGAGCTGTTTGAGCAAAGATTGAAGCTGCATCAGTAATACATTTTTACATTTGCATTCCTCGCTTAGTGTTTTCTTAAAGATGTGGAAATGGATGGATACATTTTAATATAGGCAATTAACAGTGGAAAAACAGAAATAGTATGTAACCTAATGCAAGGAATTAATGGTTGTTGGAAAAAAGCACATTAAAATGGTTGTGTGAAACAGCATGCTTCTGCCCACTGGTTTATTTGGAAATTGGGTATGTCAGGAGAAATGTAAAAGTAAGTCGAATGCAGAATGGTGTTCTTTAGAAGTTTGGATATTAAACAAGAAGAGATGGGATTAAAAATGACTGAGTGAATTAAAAAATGAGCGATCTCAAAGAGCAAAGGCAGTGTGTGAATTAGCATATGGATGCAGTTGAAGCAAGGACAGAAAGATGTGGAGGGGTTAGTGGAAAATACTGAGATAAAATGGACTTAGCTATGTTTCCCTGACTTGGCTCTTAGCATTTGTTTAGTTTACTCTTTATTGCCTCTTTCTGTGTTCTAATGAAGAGAAAGACTGTATTCAGTAAATATACACTTTTTCTTTTCTTTTCTAGGAAACCCATTATTCCACAAAAGGAGCCATCTCCACTTTTAGAGAAAAAAATTCAGCAGCTAGAAGCAAAGTTTGCTGAGTTAGAAGGTGGAGAAGAGGATATTGAAGAGATTGGGGAAGAGGAAGGTGAAGTCGCAGAAGCACCAACAATATCTCAACTGCAGACTCCACACTCCAATGAATTGGATATAATGCCATATACTCCACCACAGGTAATATGACTCACTAAATCATATTGGTGAAAGGAAGATATATTTATGAACTGTGTAACAATGTAAGTATGTGAGTGATGTAATGTGCTCATGTAATAAATGTATATGGCTACCCACGTCAGATGCATGACTGGATGGCTAACAGTTAAAAAGAATAAAAACATAATAAAAATAAAAATAAATTTAAAACAGCAGAGAGAACATAATAAACTTAGCACCTGAGAATGCTCAGTTAACACAACCAAGACCAAGAAATAGGCTCACCCATACTATCAGGGTTTCAGGTTTGATGGCAAAGCCAGGTTTTCAGTGCATTGTGAAAAGCCAGCATGGTTGGGACAAATCTAATTTCTAGGAGAATGATGTTCCAGAAGACAAGTACCACAGCAGAAAAGCTTCTCTTCCTGAGCCCTGTCAGATAGCACTTATGGATGGGCCCTGAAAACAACCTCTCCTGCCAAATCTCATAGGACAGGTAGACACCATTGGGGAGAAGTCTTGGCATCAGTCATTATTTAATCCATACAGTTGTATAGACTTGCACCAAATGTAACATTGTGTACTGTGAAACATGGCAAATGAATATTCTTGATTGCTTGTAAGCTATTTGAAAGGATAATTCATTTTTTATTTTTATCCTGCCTTTATTATTTTTTTTATAAATAACTCAAGGCAGCAAACATATCTAATACTCCTTCTTCCTCCTGTTTTCCTCAAAACAACCCTGTCAGATGGTTTGGGCTGAAAGAGAGAGACAGGCCCAAAGTCACCCAGCCAACTTTTATGCTTAAGGCGGTATTAGATCTTACTGTCTCCCAGTTTCTAGCTGGTGCCTTAAACATTTGTTAACTCTAAAAAGTGCTATATAACTCTTTTGAATAACAAGCAATACAGGTAATCTTGGGCTTAAAACCATTTAGTGACCGTTCAAAGTTATAATGGCACTGAAAAAAAGTGATTTATGATCATTTTTCACACGTAACAACTGTCTCAGCAATCCCGTGGTCACTTGATCAAAATTCAGACGCTTAGCAACCGGCATGTATTTATGCGGCTGCAATGTCCTGGGGTCACATGATCACATTTTGCGACCTTCTGACAATCAAAAGTCAACAAGAAAGTCAGATTCACTTAACAACCATGTTAGCTAATTTAACAACTGCAGTGATTCACTTAACAACTGTGGCAAGAAAACTTGTAAAATGGGGCAAAATTCCCTGGAAATTTTGGACTCAATTGTGGTCATCCATCGAGGACTATCAGTATCAGATACATTCCACCTTACGAAGATTCTGCTGATCTTAGGAGGTAGAGCCAATGATTTACCATAACATCCAGGTACTGTTCATGGCCTCTGTATTTTTTCTCATTTCCTCATTTTAATTTTTTTCTGACTAAGAAAGTTTCAGGTTCATTATAAAGTGTGTGACATATCCTTATAACTATCCTACAGCTTATATAGCTCACATACAGTACAGTTGTGATGGAGGTCAAGTGATCTACACATAATAAACTTGAAGCACTTCCATAATGGTCAAAATATCCAATCTGAGGCAGCGTACAAACCGATTAAATAAATACATCTGAATTTTTCTATACATTTGTGGTAATCTCTCTTTTTTTCTTTATAGTCCACTCCGAAGTCTGTCAAAGGCAGTGTAAAAAAAGAAGGCTCTAAAAGGAAGATCAACATGAGTGGATACATCTTGTTTAGCAGTGAGATGAGAGCTGTTATTAAAGCTCAGCATCCAGATTATTCCTTTGGAGAACTCAGCAGACTGGTTGGAACAGAGTGGAGAAATTTGGAAGCCTCCAAGAAAGCAGAGTATGAAGGTAAATCTAACTCAAAAAAAGATGCAATGTCTAAACAGGCAAGTCCAATTTCTGTCTTGAAAACTTTAAACAGGTAAATGATTCCATCCTGAGCTGCCTATAATCAATTAGATATGTTAGTGGTGGTGAAACTTACAGAGGGGTCTGGAAATTAGAAAAGCAGAAGTAATAGAACCAGAGACCTGAATTGGAGAATACCAAGTGAATTTTTAAAGCAAGATGTTTTGAAAAGAAATGAGATTGAAAACTGAAAAGGAGACCCAAGAAAAAATTACAGCAGACATAGGATAGAGAAAGAAGTCTGAAATCTGTATACTAATTCAAAATAACTGGTCCAGGGATTCTGCTACAAGACTTAAACCACATAGAAATAAAGAGTTAGATAAGTATAATTAAATATTGTTACTGAATAAGACAACAAGAAAATAAGGCACCGGCATAGTATGAAAAATACATTTGTTCAAAACTAAAGACAACATAGAACAGCAAAGGGCACATTTAGTCTCTTTCATGTGTTGTTTCTAAATTATCAACATTGCACATCCTATATGGATGAATGATGTAGTAAAACATACAATAAGATTATTTATCAATTAAAATTGGTCTCTGTAGAAAAGTAACACATCCTTTCATTAATTATATAAAACAAAGAACTGCAACTTAATAAAAGTTTGCATTTTACTTGAGTTACTGAATCCAAATGTGCTCTTAATCCTTTGTCATAGTGATTTAGTTGTTTAAATAACTTATTTTTTTTTAAATTTAACAATAAATATATGTTTAAAAATCATATTTTCCTAATTCTATAATATTTAAAGTTTTTTATTGTACTATTTGAAAATGAATTATAAATGTTACAGAATGAAAAACTTAATTATTTCAGAACAAACTGAATTTTAGATTAAACTTTGTATTGGATCTTTAATTCTTCCATTTGGTTTTTCTATTGGTTAATTCTTCCATCTGTCTTTTGAAACATATATAGTCTGTGATTTGGGATCATTCTTTTCATAATGAGTTATTATATTGTTGTTGATATTGTTATTATATAAGACCCATGGGAGTTAACTATTTTTTTCCACTAATCCTGTGTTTTATTTTTATTAGAATCCATGAGTTGGATTCTGGTTTAGTTTTAGTTAGAACGGACCTATTAAAATCAAGTAATAGTAAACTGATTTCAGTATGCTGGCTCTAAATGTGTAAAATTTGATCCTAAAACTTTGTTCTATGACTAAATTTTATTAGTCATTTTGGGTGTGGGTGGAGCAGATAATAGCTTAAACAAAGTCAAGCAATTTGTACTGTTTCTGCAAATGGACAAAGAAAATAATCCAGTCTGAAACTGCCATATTGTTCAGACGCACTGGAGTATAAGACGCAACAAGATTTCAAAGAGGAAAACAAGAAAAAAAATTGTTTTTGGCCTCCGCGCGTCCTTTTTTTGCCCTCCCCAGCCCCAAGGAGTACTTTGCAGGCCTCCCAAACCCTCTCGAGTCCAATATTTGGGGCCAATGGGCCTGTTTTTGGCCTCCCAAATCCCCCATGTGTCCCATTTTTGCCCTCCCCAGCCCCCAGGAGCACTCTGCAGGTCTCTTGAACTCTCTGCGTGTCCTGTTTTTGCAAAAAATGGGCCTGTTTCAGGGGAAAATGGGTGGTGTTTTGGGAGGCCAAAAATGGCTGTATTCGGTTTATAAGACGCACCAACATTTCCACCCTCTTTTAGGGGGGGAAAAGTGTGTCCTATACTCCGAAAAGTATGGTACATTAAAAATGAGAAAGAAATATGATTACAATTTTCCTTCTTAAATGACTTTTATGGAAAATGAAATGCTACAAAATTTATATATCAATAAATACTTCTTAATAAATAATGGAAAATAGCTTTAATTGGATTTGTGTTTTGAGTAGAGAGTCATACACAGCAACAGTTGATCTGAATCTTAATTTTGAGGCTTTGAAAATGGGACACTTTGTTCTAGATTGATTTATAGACTCCCCACTTTGATTCAGAAGCTAGTTTTGACACAGAAAACTTAACGTCTACATTTAATTGTTAATAAACAATGGGTTTATTTTACAGGGATGAAAAGTACACTATTTTCACTTGGACAGAAATTGATGGTTTTTTTTTAAAAAAAAGTAATATATTATGTCAAGTGAAAAAGGCAGGATGGGGATTGTGCTAAACACTTTATTTAGTTACTGATACATTTTTTTTTTTTGCAGAATTACATTAAGTTTCCTTATACAATTTGTTCTTTCAGACTTTTTTGTGCAAAATGGGGTCAGGATATATTACATACTGGATAGTATTGGTAAACCATTTATAATTAAATGTTAGTGCTATCAGTTGCAAGCTACTTATTTCCTTCCCCTGGCATTTTCCTTATGAGATTAATACTGGTTTTTACACAAGAGAGGTTCCTCTCTATTGGACTAAAGAGCTGATCTGCTTTAAAAGTTATTTATTTATTTGCAATGTTTATGAGATGCCTCAATGGACATGATTTGGGCAAACACGAGCAAACCAAATTAAAGTATATAATGAATATCTCTGTGCTTAAGAAGCAAACTGTTCAAAATTGTAATAGCAAAGAAAAATATGCACTGAAACACTTGAATGTTTAAAAGTCTGCTGAAATAAAATTGCTTTAAAAAGTTTTCTGTATATAAGAAGGGTAGGAGCCATTTGTGTCTTCAGGGGAAGCATGTCTTGTTAAATGAAGCCTAGTATCAAGAAAGCCCATCTCTTGGTCTAAATCCCTCTAATCTCTGATAGAAGAGAGTATCTTTGAGCAAGCTCCCCCTTGATAGCAATAGCAATAGCTCTTAGCTTTACTGTATATACCGCTCCATAGTGCTTTAGAGCACTCTGGGCAGTTTACAGTGTCAGCATATTGCCCCCAACAATCTGGGTCCTCGTTTTATTGACCTCAGGATGGAAGGCTGAGTCAGTCAGGATCAAATTCCTGGCTGTGGAAAGAATTAGCCTGCAATACTGTATTCTAACCACTGCACCACCAGTGTTGAATGTTTGAATGATAGGCAGAACCATGTCTGGTGAGGTATTCCCTGATACATCCCAGTGTCATGCCATAAAGGCCTTTTTAGGCGACAGACAGCACCCTTAGTTGGGCCCAGAATCCTAATGGATCTCTCTGACTGCTAACCTGATCCTGGATTTTGTGTCAGCTGCAGCTTCCAAGTTATCTCCAAAGGCTTCGATTCCACAAATTCCAAATCCGTCCAATTCAGTTTGGAATTCAGCCAAATGCATACCCTTGCTTTAAACTAAAATGTAACATCATGACATGCAATGTAAAAGCATCACACATCTCAAGATTGTTCCTGGCAAATTTTGTGTTGAGCCAAATAATAAGTAAATATAACTAGAGAAGAATAGAAAGAAAGAGTCCTATCATGCCTTTAACATTTCATTGCATCTCAGTCGTTGCAAGCCCTGATCTGAGCAAACTGGGTTTGAATGTGTTGAATTTGGCAGTGAAACTACAAGGTTTAACTCCTGCTTCTATTAATCATTTTTAATTGCTTTGTCATTACTATAATTTCCCTCTCTTTTCTGCTTATATCTAGCACAAATATTTAAGTCAAAATCATTTATGAAATGATGGCTGCTATTTTTCTGGTCATAGTCCAAGTTCAGGCTAATAGAATTTGTATGAAAAAATTTAAACTCGTGAAAATATCTTTAAGATTGTTTCAATGTGATGTTTTCTTTTAAACAATCATTTATAAAAAATAGTTAGATTCCCGTTTTTCTTAGTTAAATCAAAAGAGAACACATTACTTTTTTCCTGATTCACTAAAGAATGCTGCCCTTTGATATGAATCATACATTGTAGAAACTAAAGATAAGAAATTCTTATGTATCCTTATTGTTTATTCCTCTCACCCTCAATAGATGATACGTGTATAGGTTTCCTTGTGTTGTTTGGTTATGGTTATAATTTCATGTTCCCTAAATATATGTTTGAATGGATTATCACTGATATTCCTATCTTTTTTTTAATATAAAACCCACCCTTTTCTTATTTGACTAAAATACAGAAGTGTTTTGAAAACTGAAATGGTACAATAGGAAGTGAGTCTTCAATCAGATAATGTATTCATGCTTGTCCCATTCTTGATTTTCTAACAATATTTTCATCATTTATCTTGGAAATAAGAGAGAAACCCTTTGCTCATAGTTTTTCTCCAAAAGATTAGAGTGAGTAGTGGCAACATTAAACCCATATCTGTAATGTAGACATTTTGGAAGGGCATTAAGAAAGACTATAGAAGTAAAATTGCCACCTAAATAGATGTTATATTCTTGAGTAAAATTTACCCTACTTGTAAACAGCCAAAAGTTTGTTTAAATTGCCAAATGCATCCAATGCATTATAATAAAAACTTAAAACAACATTACTGAAGGATCACAATAAGAGGAAAACATTAAAAACTTTGTTAACATAGAGAAAATAGCAGAAATAGCTCACACTTGCTATTCCTTTGACAACATATATTAACAACTCAGCGAAATCTCATTTTAATGGATTAATTGGAAGAGGATGTCCACTATATATGAATATGCACTAAAAACTACATAATCGCATCAATTGATGTAATAATAGTTTATCAAGTGACACAGATTATATGTTTTGCATCAGTTGTCATTTGGGAGATGACATTAATTGCATACATTGCCTCATTTGCATCTGCATTTATTTGAGTCATCATGGTCTTTTGAATGCAACATCTGTTGTATCAGAGCCTGCTAAATTGAAATTCCATTGTATTATCAATTTGGTAAAGAGCAGATAAAGTGATTTAATAAATGAGTCTTCTTTATCAACTTCAGCCTCAGTAGTAGTAAAAACAGGCTAATTCTATGAAGATCAACGTGGATTTGTAGACAGTGGATAGCTCGCTTACAGGTAGTCCTTGAATTATGTCTGTAATGGATGCCCATCATGGTGGTAACTCATGACAGTCGTAATGTGGGCTGGTCATGTGACTTAAGCAAATCTACGGTCGTTAACTGAATGCTGCAGTCAATAAGAGTAGTTCACCTTGGATGCAGTTTTATTGAAAACTATAAATAAATGCTGGTTTTCAGGAAATCCATTGTAAAACGTGGTCACATGATTGCAGGACTCATGTCCAGGTGCATATATTGTTTAGCATTAAACAGTTGCCATTCCGTTCATAACACTTTTAGTGTGGCAGTTTTTAAAAAGGTGAGAAAGAATAAAGCCCATGGCTTAGATTATGAAACCAAAAATGAGTGAGCAAGCTTGCAAACAAATACTATTTTCCCTTCCTCTCTTCTATAGCATATCCTTATCCAGGCTATTGCACAATTCCACAATCAGGTAGGACTCGGCAACACTTCAGATTCAAAGGCAAAAAAGTGCATAGGAACCTTAAACCAAATCTGTTTTTCCCCCCAGGAACATGCTGCAGCTGCAGAAGGCAGCCAAATGAGGCTGTGAAAACATACAGCTGCTTTAAGGAGTTACAGACAGATGCTATGTGAGTGAGAGCCCACATGTTCCAGAACACATTTTCCCCTTAGATTCTGTAGCTGTGCATAGTCAGTTGCTTCCAAATAGGAGAAGATTTTGGGAAGCATAGAAGGGAGGCAGGCACAGAAAATAGCCTCCGCATCTTTCTTTCTCTCCATGGTTGTCTTGATCTGAGCCCGTATTTCTTGAAATCTTTGTGAATTTTAAAAGAATTCTTTTTTTTTTTTTTTGATGTTGGCATCTGAATAAGTTCAAAATTATATGCTGTATTACTAAAATTGTGTGGGCTTTTTTTTCCTACATAAGGCTAAATGATCAGAGATTTTTTTTAAAAAAAAAATTCTGGGTCATAAAACAGAACTGAAAATCTAAAATACTTTTACAGAGCGGGCAGCTAAGGTTGCTGAGCAGCAGGAGAGAGAACGAGCAGCACAGCAACAGCAGCAGAATTCTTCTCCCCGGGCAGGCACTCCTGTCGGGGCTCTTATGGGGGTGGTGCCGCCACCAACACCAATGGGGATGCTCAATCCGCAGTTGACACCTGTTGCAGGTAAAAACAAACAGAGGGGCTCTGACCATTTTTCCTTCATCCACTTTACCAAACTCTTAACCAACCTAACAAAACTTTCTTCTTAAAATTTACCTTCAAAGCATCCTGATTTTGAGCATAAAAGTTGCTCCCACTGTTAGAGATATTAGCATATATTTAATCATAAGCATGCACTCTTATCCTGACTAGTCCTATAACTGCACTTTTCCTAATCGGCGATCATGCGCATAGTTTGAATTGTATTCTATCTATTAACTGTTGGCTTGTGTTTGTTTTGTTTTTTGCTGTATCATCAGTATATCTTGGGCAAAGTGAATGATCGTACATCTGAAGTGGGCTTCAGTCTACGAAAGTTTGTTCAGTAATGAGAATTAGTCTGTAATGTGCCACAAGTCCTTGCTGATTTTGTTCACATAATATAATTGATTTTCAGGATCCCATAAGCATTTTATTTTGCTCTCACGATGGGTTAAGATTGTAACAAATGAGTATTTTACCTTCATTTGAGAATAAAACTAATGTTACCTTCCAGTTGAAATGATCATATATGTTTGCATCAACACACAGGAAATGAAAAAAAGTTGCGATTATTTTTCCTAGACCAGGAGATCTTAGGCTTATGTTCACTGAACAGCAGCCTCTCTATATCACTGTACACACTGGTCACTTTGGATGGAACATTGAAATGTGGCTTAATATGGCATACATTTGGTCTTGGTGTCCCGCTCTATCTGTGGCATGTCTATAAGGAGCAATTTGAAAGCTTCTACCAATATAACTGAACCCAGAAGTATAATGAACATTAGTTAAAATTTGGTGAAAGAAGCCAACTTTGAACCAAAGTTTATAATCCTTTTAAACAATGACTCATACTTAGAAATTTGACTTTTTGAGAAGAGAAGAGGATCATGAGTCACAGGCTCATTCTCACAATGCATATCTATCATTTAATCTTTCTTTTGAAATGGCCAATGTACAATATCTCAGGTCTTAGTTCAAAGTCTTATTTCGAAACCTTGGTGTTGAAGTCTTGCACTGTGCTTTAAGTTTGAAAGCAAGGCTTTAATTAAACAATGGCTTTTGAAATTTATATAGACCCATTTTCAAACCAGTATAGTGTTCTGTGTGTTTTACAGCATTTCTTTGTTTGGGAAATGTAATGCATATAATTGATTTTGGAAGCATCAATTAATGTATAGGAAATAGAAGTCTCAAACTAATATGTTGGGGGTTTTTTTCCTCTTGTTTCTCCTGTTGTCTGTACTGTATATTCACTTGATATAAAATAAAAAATGCAGCTAATACAATTCTCACAAATGATCATAATATGCTTGCAACATCCAGCATATTAGACAACTATTTGTGCTGGATTCAGACTCTATAATTTGAATTCTGTTCCTAGAACAGGGATTACAACATTTTGGTTCTACTTATACCTCCTGTGAATCCCTTCCTTAAATTTGTTCCAGAAGATGAAAGCTCAGAAATTGCATGAATGGTGCACAGGGTAGCAGGCATAGACAAAATAAGAGAAAATATTTCTTCCTTTAACTTCTACTTATAGAATACTTTTCTGTCTCCGTGTTTATGCTCCTTCCATGAAACAATACGTTAGGTTCTACCTATTGTTTTTGTCTTTGTTCTTTTTCTTTAATGGAAGTGTCATCATGAGTGGCATGATATTGTAGGTCTTTACTCAAATTTTTACTCAATTCCTCAGCATGCTTAGCTGTGCATTGAATGCTTGTGCTGTGCTTTTGGTTAAGAATGTGTCTCCGACTCAACCCCTCCAAGACCGAGTGGCTGTGGCTTCCGGCGTCCCGATATAGCCAGCTGATGCCATCGCTGGCTATTGGGGGTGAATCACTCGCCCCCACGGAGAGGGCTCACAACTTGGGCGTCCTCCTGGACGCACGGCTGTCTTTAGAAGATCATTTGATGGCCGTGGCCAGGGGGGCTTTTTATCAGGTTCGCCTGATACGCCAGTTGCGCCCCTTTCTAGATCGGGACTCCCTACGCACAGTCACTCAGGCACTCGTCACTTCCCGCCTGGACTACTGCAATGCTCTCTACATGGAGCTCCCCCTGGGGTGCACCCGGAGGCTCCAGCTGGTTCAGAACGCGGCCACACGGGGGATTATGGGGGCGACGAGGCGCTCCCATGTGACACCTCTCCTGCGCGAGCTGCACTGGCTCCCGGTGGTCTTCCGGGTGCACTTCAAGGTGTTGGTGACCACCTTTAAAGCGCTCCATGGCTCAGGGCCGGGGTATTTACGAGATCGCCTTTTGCCACCAAGAGCCTCCCACCGGCCAGTACGCTCACACAGAGTGGGCCCCCTCAGGGTGCCGTCCGCCAGACAATGTCGGCTGGCGACCCCCAGGGGGAGAGCCTTCTCTGTGGTGGCGCCCACCCTCTGGAACAACCTCCCCCCAGAGATACGTACAATAACAGACCTCCGGATTTTTCGTCGGGCCCTGAAAACCCTTTTATTTCAACTAGCTGGGCTGGCTTGAGTTAAATTTTAAACTGATTTTAAATTGGAATTGTTTTAATTACGGCCAAAATATTTAATTATTTTAAACAGTTTTTAGATTTTGTATGTCTTGTTTTTACTTTGGCTGTTCACCGCCCTGAGTCCTATATTGGAGAAGGGCGGTATAGAAATTTAAACAAATAAATAAATAAATAATAAATTTGAGCTATGGAATCCTATTCAAATATCCCATCAGCCACAATTTGGGAACTCTTGTGTGTCAGCTCCACATGCTGGGCTATAAGAGTGATAGGCTACTTTAGGACTTCTCTAAAGAGAATTGACAACATTTGCAACTTGCTTTGAACGCTTGATAGGTTCAGTATAAATACTGAGTATAGCCATTAGTTTATTGTTGGGTATTATATAGTAACCAGTGTTGTTTCCTGTTAATTCAATGTCAGACATGGAGTACGTCCTCCAATAAATTTCTTTGAGTATCCTTATGGGTTTTTTTTACATAAATAATATTCTTGAGAAGTTGGCTTTATAAAATGTATGGAGGTTTTCAAGGCTGTTGAGAATCTACTCCAAGTAAATTTGTGTTTTGAAGCATCTTAAATTGCGAGGATTCTTTTCTGTGAAGTTTAATCTTTTGATATAAATATTTTATCTCTCCCTTATTATTTTCATTAAAAAATGGAGATAGTGAACATACCTAATCCTCCTCCTCCTATTCTCCCCACAATGACAACCTGTGAGATGGGTTAGGCTGAGACCGTGGCAGCTGGTTTTCATACCTAAGGCGGGACTGGATTTCACAGTCTTTTGGTTTCCCGCCTGATGCTTTAACTGGACTATCTCTTTCAATTTTATTTTTTTTTAAAGGGGGTGTGGGTTGAGCAAAGACTTCCTGACTAGAGGATTCTTGTCACCGTATACATAATTCTACCCTTTTATCCAGAGGGCATCTCCATTCCTTACATCATACGAAAAACATTAGCAAAACTGTAACTATTACAGCATATGCTTATACTTATCAACAGTTAATAGAAGATGTTTGTTTCACTAGATTGATTTTAGCTATTAGACAAAGTTCACATAGCCATTGTAAATAATGAAAGTCATCCTGTACAAAAGATTTATTACTTCCAAAATCCTTTTCTCCTGTAAGTCGATAATAAAAATAATTAATTTGAATTAACAACTGTGGTTCCAACTGGAATGATAACTAATTTATGTACATCAGTGCTGTTTTGACCTTCTATGAAGCCTACAAAACAGCTTGCAAAGATAACTTTCCCCAATTCTTTTTCCCCCCTGCTATTATCTTGATTATCTAATAGAGCATCTTCTCCTCCATTATTTCTATCAGGGTAATAATCTTATTTCCCTCTCTGATGTTGCCCCACTTGGTTTCTTATGGATCTTCAAGAACAGTCCTTGCTATATTTGATATATTCCTCAGACTTCCCATAGATTAACTCTTTCAGTTGTCCCCTTCTCTTAATTCTCTTCCTCAAGAGACATACCCACTTTGCTGCCACACTGTGACTTTTTTAAATCAAATATTTTATGTTTATTAGCAAATACAAATTATAGCTTTTGGCATTAGGTATTGATACTATCAGCATGACTTTCGGCAATTCAAAAATTTGAAATCATAATTGTAGAAGGTATTGTCTATGATGGAAAATGTTATGAAATTGCATCGTAGCTCAGGTGTGAAAGATCATGTCTCTCTCTTTAAATTGTTTCAATATTCAGGAGGTCTTAATGAGAATGAGATGAAGAAGAATAGTTTCTTCACTGTTGTTGAATTAATTTCTTACTTGTTTAAATGATTGTGTCCAGCATAAGTTAAATAGTGAAACTGAGTGCTTTTTTTCTAACAATTTATTTTCCATGCAGCTAAAAGACTATACCATACCACAAATTCATAAAGTGCTTATAACAATGTTGCTTACGTTCATATAACCAACAGGAAATTTACATGTTTGCAGTTAATATACTTTTAATGATGTAGAGTTTGTTTCCTTCAAAAAATATGCCAGTTGGCTAATACTAATTTGTTATAAATATTCTATTTGTCATTGTAACATTGTTTGTTTTTGCAAAGTACTAATTGTAGTATTGTATGGCAGAACTGAAGATGCTTATGTGTGGGTAGTGCACGTCATTATTAATTTGACCATTTTGCATGTCATTGATGCATGTTTGAAATTTGTTGTGTCCTTTAAGGCATGATAGGTGGCTATCCACCAGTGCTGCCACCTTTACAAGGCCCAGTTGATGGCATTGTTAGCATGGGCAGCATGCCGCCACTTCACCCTGGGGTGCCTCCACCCCATCAACTTCCACCAGGCATGCCAGGCATCCCACCACCGGGTAAGAATGAACCTCCTCATTCATTCATTTTCTGTTCTCACCCCATTTAATCAATTACTCTAGGAGAGGTTTGCAGCGTCTGCACTTGTAGCTCCATTGCTTGACTTTTACTGACTGTCATAGGTCTTGGATATTGAGCTGTTAATGTGAAAGTACAAAGAGAAATCTCTTAGATACAGATAATACATATACTGGTATATTAAATTTGTTGGCAAAGCAACATACGTGGTCAGTCCAGCATCAAAAGGAGTTAAAATGTAAAATGTAAGAACACTTCAATTAGTGCTTAAGGGCTTGACTTGATCAGAGATGTGGAATATTAAAGGCTTATATTTTCCATTCCCTGTGAATACGTCAGAAGTCTTGTTTAAAGTGGACTAAATCCAACTAACTCATAATACCAAGAGAAATCATTACCTCAGTCTGTTTTTTACTTCTACCTTTTAATATTGCAATCACTTCAAATGTGTACAGTATATCCTATTTTCAGATGCTTGATTTAATAGTAGGTCAAGTAAAATTTTACACCTAACCCATGATTATAATTTTTTTCAATACACTATCTTATATACTATATTCTAAAGACTTGTCCAAGAAAAAAAAATCAGTTTCCATTGTAGTTAAATGTACTTTTTACATTTGCCCTGAGTATTGAAGTACATTGTTAATTACAATACATTCCTGGCTTATATACTTAAAATTGTATTGCATTATCTATTATGGTGAAAGTAATATTAACCAAAAGTTAAAGATTATTTAACTTTCTATTCCTATGTTTTTTAAAAATATAGACTCACAGGCAGTTTTGAAAATCCCAGTTACTTTACTCTTTCCCCCCCCTGCTGCTAATTTTTAGTTTGCCTTTTCTGCATGCATTGGATAAATTTAGGTAGAAACTAATAAAGATTATATTTGCATGTCATACTTAACTGTAAACAAGTGCTTCCAAACCATCCATCAGTGGTTTGGCAAGAGTTGTTTGGAAACCACAGCTTTCCATTTCAGGTTAAAGATGACGTGCATACAGTCAAAATCTGTGTCTCAGCATGACTTGCTCAGAAGTCTCTTGAAAAGTTATTAATTGCAAGCAGAAATATATTTTAACATTCTATAAATAAGGGGTACAAATGTGAGCATTTACAGTGGAATAAGAACAATAAATTATAGCATATATTTCTATGGTATACAGTTTATTGTTTACTACCTGTAGCAAGCGTGCTTCTCTGTTCTTAAAAAATTATCTCCTTAGATAGAAATGGTTATTTAGTAAAATTGCATGTTCAATTTTAAAGGATAGACTAAAGCAGAATTTTCACAAAGCCACCAGAAAGTGCTGAGAAGTATATGGAAAAATGACCAAGCACATAACCATTGGACCCATCATGCAGTGCTGTATTGAGTACTTGCAGAAATTCCATTGTGGTTATGCAAGGGGATAATTTATGAATCCAGTGGAAGGGATGTTATTATTACTGGATGAAGTTAACTAGGTGGAACCCAAAAACAAAACACACCCTAGACATCCAGATGACATGGTTAATGATACTGCTTTAAAAAAATACATTTTGACAAATAGTGGTTTTCACTTTTTTGATGTAACATTAGTTTGTTATAATAGAGCAGTATATTTTTGTTTTGTTTTGTTTTTAGCTTGGAATAAGATTGTGATTTTGATATATTTTAAAATACAGGTGTTCTAGGGCAAAATGTTTCCTCCATGGTAGGAGCCCCAGCACCAGGAAGTCCATTTGGGCAGCAGGTAGGTATAGAAAAATCCAATAAATCATATTCCGATATTGTCTTTTTTGAAAAAGAAAGAAACTATCTTCCAGTTCTTTAATGGATGAATAAAGGAGTGATAAGGAAATAACATCAGAATATTACAAATGAGTATATTTATAATGCATTTCTAATTTGCTGATGTAACCTTTTACTTGTAGGAATCAGAAATGCTGGATAATCTTTTTTAGTCTGGGAAGAGGTTTATGTGTGGACAGGGCTAGTAATGTCATAATATCAGCAGTGTTAGCTGGGCAGAATTTTGAAGAGAGTTAATTTTTCCACCTGGTTTGGGGAACTTTACAGAGGCTTAAAGGATCCATTTTGCCACTTAAACTGCATCCAAAATGAGAAAAAATAGTTTGGGTTTAAGATTTTAAAATTTCGTTTGGTGTTTATATTCCCCCTCCCTAAAACCTCTGTATTTTTAGACCTGCATGCTCATGGAGAGTTTGGGGGCCTTAAATGACATTTTAATGTGATTACATGAAATCTTTGAGTTGCCCACACATGAGAAAACACAAGATATACCAAAATAAGGGTTGTGGTTAGATGAGGAGTTACAGGGTCCCTGTGGGGGGGAATCTGTTTATCTGGCTACCTACTTTATTAGATACACATCCCTACTAACTGGTAAAAGCTACCCAGGCAATGATGTATAGCTAGGTTCCTGTGGTAATATCTGCTTTGTTGAGAAGAGTAGTAGTACTGCCTCCCAAGTCTTCACAGGGCCTGAAAATCTTGGACAATTTTTGACTAGTCCTTAACTTACTTTGGGGGGAAGGTATATTACAGCTTAAGGCAGAGCTGTCAAACTTGCGTTGTCACAGTGTCGTCACATGACATATTGGGACTTTTTCCCCCCTTTTCTAAACCAGGCATGGGCCGTGAGTTTGACAGCCCTGGCTTAAGGGGTTCTTTTCATTCAGGTTTTAGACAGGACATGGCACCAAAATGGCAACGGTCACACTTGCTGATGACTTTTGGTGGATTTCTTATTTATCTGTGGTTGGGCTCAGTTGGTGATAGCAGGAGGGATTAAGCCAGAGACTCCTGATAGCAGTGCCTCAGGTCTTGATTGTTCTCACCACTCCTACTATCTAGATGAGACCATTCATTAGCTTGGGATAAGTTTTTATATCTAGTTATACCAACCAACCAAACGATGCTGTCAAAGTCTTTCCCCAAAGTCTGGAGACTGTGGATGTTTCGATTGGGAGGAGCAAGTTTAAGCTTTAGCCTGACAAGACCAAGTTGCTGCAAATATTTGAACCACTTGGATTAGGAGATGTTTCATTTTTAGTCCTGAGCAGGTTTGTGTATCCCATCTCAGGACATATGCTCAATTTGGGGTCTTCTTGGACTTATAACTCCTGCTTGTGAAGCAGATGATAGCTATGACCAAGAAAGTCTTCGCACAGATTCAGAATAATGCTCCAATTACACTCATATCTGGACTATGAAATCCTTAAAGCAACCATCCATGCTTTGATCATCTTATATTTAAACTACTGCAATATGTTACACTTGGGATTGTACTTATCACTCGGAAGCTGCAGCTGGTGCAGAATGCTGCAGCATAAGCAATTATGGGCATATTGTGGTATGTCTTTTATAACACCACTGCTTTATGAGCTGAACTGGTTACCAATAGGCTTCCATATGCAATTCCAGTGGCTAGCTATCACCTGTTGAGCCTTTCATGTCATGTATCCCGGTTATGTAAGGGGTTGCTTGTTTTCCATAGTTTTTGCCCTTCCTATGTAATTTAGCAGAGTCAACATGTTCCGGGCCCTCATTGATTAAACAGTGTCACCTGATGGAACTCAGACCTTCTCTTTTATAACATCTGCCCTGTGGAATATGCAGCTCCCACCTATCCTATCCTAATGTTATTTAAAGGAGCCTTTACAACTGGTTCTTCCCCATCACCTTGGGCTAGACGGGGTGATAGACCTCATGGGATGATGTTATTTTATTTTTTTCTAAAGAGTCCACTTTGTATTGTTGAGTTGCATTGTTTTAAATTGTTACATCGTATGCTGGCTAGAATTATGATAAGAGTTGAGTGGCCTGTACATTAATTAAAACATGGATTGATTTCTTTTATGCACCATTTGGAGCGTCTTGAAATATTTGGCGTTAAGTTTAAACACCTTTGTGACCTGTCATGGGCCATATTTCCTGCTGAACTGTAGTGCAGTTGCCACATCTTTAAAGCATTTTTGAATATTTTTACTCTTTTTATTGTGGAGTTCTTGGTGCCCTCTGAGCTTAGTTGTTCGCTTGTGGGCATTTAAGACTTATGATGTTGCCTAGCTAAGTATTGAAATGTCTGCAAGCAAACAACCTAGCTAGCTAATACTTGTCAAATATCCTTAACTATAATACTAAATATTTTTGGCTGTTCTTGATCTAACTTCTAAAATGCTTTCTTGATATTGTACTTTATATTTCTAGATAGGTATGCTTGGTCCCCCAGGTCAACAAGCACCACCTCCCTATCCTGGTCAAAACCCAGCATCTCAACAGGTCATGCAGCAACCCACAACGCCTATGTTTGTCTCTCCTCCACCAAAGACACAGAGGCTTCTCCACTCAGAAGCTTATCTGAAATATATTGAAGGTCTTAGTGCTGATTCAAATAATATTAGCAAGTGGGACCAGACCCTTTCAGGTAAAATTACAAAGAAATGAACCTCTTAAAGAATGTTGACACTTTCCATATTCTAGCGTTCTTTCATCTTACCTTAGAACAGCATGTGCAAAGGAAAGAGTTTCACTCATTGTCCAATATAATTACACAACTCTTATTTCTATCAGTAAATTGTAGATTTTTGCAGTTAGATTTACTTAGATTAATGTTATGTGGAGAAATTTTAAAGGAAATTCTATTTTCTGTGCACTGATTCTGTATCTTTTCTTTTCACTTGCATGTAACTAATCAATTTGGTTATTTTACTAAATTATTCATATTTGTTCCATTTTTTTTAGTTGAACTGTCTACGGATTTACCAGATCTTTGTTACTGTAGCCCTGTTCAAGATCAGTTCCTATTTTTTGGTTCCATCTTATTTTAGTGCTAAATGAAAAATTGATAAGAAACAATATGGATCCATTGTTACTTTCCATAACTGACTTACACTTACCATGATATATCAATCATAGAATTATAAATTATAGATGGGAGCATTTAGGCATCAAGACTAATTACTTGTTCCCAAAATTCATCTTCCATTGTACCAACGTATATCTGTCCAGCATCTGGTTGGTAGTTGATTGCCCTGTTGAACTACTATTAAGTTTTTGCTGAACCTAGAATCTTTATTTCTATAATTTAAAATGGTTACTCTGTATTTTATCATCTGGATTAGATGGAAAACAAATCTTTATCTACTCTGTGATAATCATTCACATACATGAAAAATGTTACATCTCACTTTCCAGTCGTTTCTCAGTATTTTCATTTCCCTGATTATCAGTGTTGTCCTTTGAATCGTTTCCAATTGTCCATTTTTATCTTTCAGTAGGGTGACATAATGACATGGGGTCAGATTAGTGCAGATGAAAGAACAACAATTATTTTATATTACTTGCAGATTTTATTCTTATTGATGCAATATTTGTGTACTGACTTTTTCAGCTCATGGTCATCATCAGTTGCAAAATCTTTTTCACAAGTAAAATTCCCAACCCAGGGATTTCCCATCCTATATTCATGCATTTAAAACAGTAATATATATTTGCATGTTGTATAATGCATCATTATTGGTGAAGTATAATGACATATTTTAAGACAAGCTATCGCTTCTGTGCTTTTCTTGTTTCAGCACGAAGACGTGATGTCCATCTCTCAAAAGAGCAAGAAAGTCGTCTTCCTACACACTGGTTGAAAAGCAAAGGGGCTCATACCACAATGGCAGATGCACTATGGCGGCTTCGAGACTTGATGTTGAGAGATACACTTAATATCCGCCAGGCATACAACATAGAAAATATTTAACCTTTCAATGCCAACATATAAAAAAAATGTGGAACATAGCTGTTTTAGTTATTGGTGAGGGAGAGAAAATTGTTTTTATTGCATCTTATTGTATATTGCAAGATTGTTTTTTTATAAGGACATTTTTAATAAGCATATTTCACTTTTTGTTATATTATGTTGACTTTTCTTAAATATACAGACTTGTGCATATGGTTGACTTGAAAGATGATCTCATGCTTGGTTCTAAAAGCAAAGCAAGGTTATATCTTTTTTTCTTCACAAATTCTGATAAGGTAGGGAGGGTGTTTACAGTTTATCTTGGAAAAACATACATTTATGCCTAGACCATGTTGGCATGAGCATCCCTGTTTTTATACGGTAGTTACTTCTGGCAGGTACATCACATATGCTTGAAGTTTTTTTAAAAAATAACTCTGAAGTAGAGGGAAAGGAATCTGGTAAATACAAGAATCTAAATGTTGGTCAGTAGGAGGATCTCAGGACTTGAAATAAAAATGAAAAATAATCAAACACTTCAATTAGTTCAAACACTTTTGACATTTAGGAGTTCCAAGGTAAGTTTATGCTGACCAATTTGTCATTTGTGAAGAGTCCTATAACCATGAACATTTACTTATGTTGCCAGTAAGCTCTGAGCTAGGGAGAGAATGTGTTTTCGGCTTCATTTCTCCAGAAGAAGAAATCACCATAGCAGTTGGGCTTGTAGAAATATGTGAGGAAGGATAAATAACTATAAGGGTGCAAATATTTCTTTTCTGCTTTCTATTTAATATGATTCAGTTTTTGATAGTATACATAATACTTTTGCATTCTCAGATCGCTTACAGAACATTTATATATTTAACAGAACATGACATTTTTAAGGATGCCAAGACCTATCTATATTTAATACATTTTAATACTTTTACATTTCTACCACTGGAAAAAATGGATGTGTTGTTCTCTGAATAGTTACGGTATTATTACAAATAATGCAGATTTTAACTGATCTTTGAAGGTAAGTAACAGGACATGTACAAGACAGGCTTGCCTAAATGCTATCCATAATTTGGCACTGGGATTTGTATACTGTTTTTAAAATTGCTCTGATATAAACATTGCACTGCAGCTACTGAGAATTGCAAGTGCATAATCAGCTGCACTGCAGTATTAAAAGGTTTAACATAATAAATAATGTTTTTGGTGGGTATTAAAACCCTGATTTTGCATATCTTAGTTGAAAAAAGTAAAAAAAAACTATTTTCAAAAATACCTTCTTTTGGGATCACAGTTTTTACATCATTTTCAACTCCAGCATTTAGATAGTCCCTTTGAACATGAAAAAAATATTTCATGAAGTTTAATTCTCCTACCTAAAATTGTGTAGTTCACTGATTTGCTGCCTAATTTCATAAAACTTCCTAGTTTCATAGCCTTCCTCAGGATGGGACTGGCAGTTGATAGAAATACTATTTTTTTATTTAATTATAAAGTACTTTAATTAAAACTTAAATACTTTGACTTAGTGGGGAAAATATATGCATATAATTTTAAAAGCAAGTTTAAAAACATCAAATTTCATGGAGGTTTAGAGCAAGTAGCAAGCTAAAACTTACATGGTCAGAAAATATGTTTTTAGAAAACTAGCTTGATTTCTAAGTAAAAACTACTTGAAATGAAAAACTACTGTGGTTTTCACTTTAGAAATTGTAGAATTAGGTAGGTATCCAACTTTCAATTCACTAGAATTGAAATATTCCATATACAACCCTGGTTTAATACAGATGTCCCCCAAAAAATGATGGCAGAGCTATTTCAGAGATAGAATTTATACTTCTAGGATATAGCTTTTGACAAATCTAATGAAACACTTAAAGAGATACAGTTATCAAATTAGGTACTAATATAAAATGTAACTTAATTGACATTACAGGAGATATAGTTTATATCTTTAATATTTTATAATCTTTGGTACAAGCAACCTTAGTTTATATTGTTTAAAATATTTACAAACCTCAGAGAGAGGTTTGTAAATATATATGCTGCTATCTCCCAAGTTTATTTTTCCCTCCTGGGGTTTTCTTAGTTGACCTTATAGTAATTTTCAACATGGAAGCAGTTGCAATGTTGGGAGCTGCTAAAATACCGTAAATCCATGCATGCTCTTATGGATTGTGGCCAGTTTGTTTGATATTACCTCAGATAATGGTATTTTCAACAACAAAGTTAGAGGAAGCTAGCAGCACATCCTAATTCTTGAGTACTTAGAACTGCCATGGACATTTACTAATACAATCACTTTTGTTAAGAATTGCTAAAATTACACCAAAGAACTTGGAATTATTTATTTTTATTTATTATTTTTAAAAACATTTTTTAAGATGAGACCCCTTTGGATGAGACACCCTTTGGATGTGTAACGCAGAAAGATCGCTGCTGAATATTTTATAGCATTATCTTTCCCAGAGACCTTACCTAAGGGGCAGCTTCACCACTCCTAACAGCCTAGGAGTAAACAATTAGAACTGTAAATGAGGCCTTTTCTTTGGAAGTGCAGAGCACTCCACTTAAACTATTAGGCTGGCCCTAATTATTTTAAATTTAATTTATTCCAATATCATGTGTACTGGGGCATTTCAGTAACGTATAGGATTTAAGATTTGATGGTTACAATCCAGTATTGCACAATTAGCAGACGTAACTATTTTTTAATTCTAATTTGTTGAACAGGAAAACAAACCATGTTTTATTTGTGGCCACTTGAATCCATTGTTATCTTCCACAGCCATGCACTGTATTAGAATAAAAGGACTTTGGTTATTCAAATAAAAGTATGGGAACTGGTTGGCTTGAATGGAAAAATATATCTATTTCAGTTTGAAAATGATTAGTAGTTCATTGCCTATTCTTTATTCCTTACATTTTTAAAAAGCAAATCTGTATATTAATTCAAGTCAATGCGTATAACTTTTTTCCAGCATATATGCTTTTGGACCTGGTTAATCCATGCCTCATTTTTACATCTGGTTGTATACTCCAGTGAGTAAAGTGATCATTAGTCCATGTGCATGTACTATCAGTTTGTCTTTTTTGAGGCTTTTTAATTTAAATAAAAATAGTTTATAATTTGGATTAACCAGGTTTGATTGTTCCATTAAGATGTCTCGTTTTTAGTTCTAGATAATTTTACTATAATTCTAACCATGTTCTGTAAAGAAATCACTATGACATGCAATGTGTACATACTGGTTGTTACATTAGATACACAGAACAAGACCTAGAGAAAAATATGCACATATATCCTACATTCAAAAACCTTTCCAAAAAGAAACATAACCAATGAGCTTTAGAGGAATACAGAATTGTAAAATTGGTACACACGTAGAAAAGTTCACATGCATGCTAAGCCATTACTTGTTTTTTTCATGATTAAGTCACAACAGCTGGCTTCATGCATCATACTAAGTCAAAACCAAGCTAATCGCGTATGATGTGTGAAACCTGTTAGTATGATTTGTCAGCTATGATTGATGGCTTAGCATTATGAGCAGACAATAGTATTTGGTTGTACATTAAACATATTAATACAATCTCGATTTACTACAGTGTGTGAACTGAGCCTATACTATAAAGATATTATCAAATTCTATATATCTCTTATAGGACTTGTTTATTAATGGAATCAAAATAACACTTAAATAACCTTAATTTTATGGGCTAGGAAAACAAGTCTTCCTGGTTTTAAAGTCCATGTTGGAAGTTGGTGTGTTTTAAACCAACTTTAATCAGATCTGGGCTGATGAAAAAATTGAACAAAAGGATCCATTTTCTCATGTGTACAGGAAGCATTAGAACGGAAGTGTACAACTTGGCCCCATTGTATTTCACCATAAACAATGGTCTATTGCAATTGCCCACATTTGGTAAAATAACAGAAGTCTTGCAATATAGCTATGCTTACGTTATAGATTTAAATTAATTTCTGCTCAGTATTTTTAGATTTAAAACACAGCAATACTTTTCCTTTGATCATAGATAATGAGTTTATAAATTTAGCAGATGGCCATACATTACATTTTTACATTTTCTTCTTTGAAATTTAAGTGTAGCCTTTTCTCTTTTGCTATATATTGTGTATATACAGTGACCATATTTTCTTAGAAAAAATAAAGGGCAAAACTGGAAGAGGTGCATAATCAAAACATGTTTAAAACTCTGCTTTACAAAAGAAAATTCAAGGTCAAAACCAATAAAATAAAGGACAGCTGTCTGAAATAAAGATGGTTCTTTATAATAAAGGACAGTCACTGTATGTATATATGATGACAGGTGTGATTAGTATCAACTTTCTATATGTTTAATTTCGAACTAGGAGTTTTTAATAGCTAAAAGAGAATAATTCGTCCATCAATAATAAAATGAATAGTTAAGTTGCTTGCTTCCAACTTTTGGAATAGATTGGACCTGATGGATAGAGTTTCAGCAGGATTATCTGTTACTGTTTTTGTTAAATTCTAGTAAGCTCATGCTTGTTAGTTATCTAGACACTTGTTTTCTATTAACCTTTTCCAACTGCTTTCAGTTTTTTAAGCACCAGGTTCCTCTCACATAACTCTTTGCCTTTGCTTTAAGCATCTAAAACACTGAAGTGTTAGCTTCATTATTAGTACTGGGCCATTTATTCGCAACTATTTTCTCCAAGATCACAATTCAAAGGATTTTTTTTAACTAGCTTTCTGATCAGGCAAGTTCCATCTGAGAAAAACTATAGCTTTTACAATAAATACATTTTATATTATTTATATAATCGGCCATCTAACTTAAATGACTCAGCTAAGATGAAAAAAACCAAGCAAATTCTCATGTCAGATATCTATTTCATAATTATAGTCGCTGTCCCTGTGAATTTTTAACCCTTGGAAATGAAGTTTACTATTACTGTTGCATTTGTTTCATTAGATGGGCATTGTGTGTTGACATCTCAGTGGTTTTTTTTTTTTTAAGAAACAGATTGGCTTTTGCACTCTCATCTCATTTATCAAAAAAATCCTTAAGGTTTCTTTGCTTCAGCCATCTAAGCAATGTCAGTTTATCTAAGGTTTTTGGTGTTTCTCCCAGAAATTTCAATTCTAAATTCTATTTATTTTAATCCAACATTTATCCTGACATTCTGAATACAAATTAAAATAAATACAGTATTGAGGCATAGTAAAGAGGCTTGGCACATTCCTTTCCATTATTTGAGATATTTACTTCTTCCATGTTTCATTCTAACTGTTGTATCCAGGTTGTCATGCAAATTCTTCAGTGGCAAATGAGATGATCTGGTACACCAGTCTTTTCATGAGCTCTTTACAATTTCTTATGACCCGTCTTTGGATATTTTCTCTATTATCCATTTGATGATGTGACCTCAGGTTTCTATTTTCTGAATTCGGCTTGTATATCTTGGCAGTTCTTATACCATGTATTATTGAAGCCTGGATTGCAGAATTTTGGGCATTTTCTTTCTACGATGTAAAATTATTGAGATATCTAAAAGGCCAGGTTGAAGGCATATCATGCTGGAAAAAATGAAGTTGCAAAGAGTTGACTCAAACTCGATAGTAGTTAATAAATCATTTTATGTTAAGTGCAATTGGCAATTTTGAGCATTTGTTTATAGGGTCTTTTGGTATTGCAATATAAAAAGATAGTTTCTTGTCCCCTGGTTACTACTCTTTTCCATGTCTGCAAGAACCTCTTTAATTGCATCAATTTAAATGTTTTTGACCAGTCCTGCAACTCTGTTAACTCCTGCAGCTTTGTTATTTCCTAGGGCCAAATTCACTTTCCAGAATGTTTGGCTATACTTCAATATCAAACTCTTATTCAATCTGTCTGATGACAAAACATAGAAATCTGCCATACAATTTAAGGCCACTGATCAATCTGATTATATAAATGGAAAAGCAGATCTTTAAAGTTTCTGCTATCTGATAGAATTTGGGTCTTTCTCCGTTCAGCAAGCTATAGTATAATTTTTACTAATAAAAACAAGAATGTTACACAAAAAGCAGCATGGAAAATTTGTTACCCTGAATTACAGGAGGACACTGCTGATTCCCTCGTGTATATTTTCTCCAGAGGGTGAAAAGTTCCTCTAACTATTGTGTATTGTAAATTTTTCTGCTATTTACCATGTCAAGTTCCTTTTATTCATACATACTAAGTTCACATATGGTAAGTCATGATTTGCTTGGCCATAGTTTAGGTAATAGCATGTTAAGCCAAAATCAAATCATATTACAGCTTTGAGAAATACATAAATCCTGATGAGACCTACATTATCTGGTGTATTCACATGTCTTCTGTGTGACAACTCTACACATATATCTTCCATAAACAACCAGAACTTGTCAATTGAAGCATGAATCTATATTGTATACATATTATCATAATGATCACTGTGTGAAAGAGAATGAGAATTCTTGTTATAATCTTCTCCCCTAAAACTATGACTTGGATTATGAGAGTGAACTATTGCAAACATTGGGATCAAATGTTCCCCTTTTCGCCTTCCCTTTTTGCACATCCTCAGATCAGCCCAGCAACAGTAAAATAATTCCTTTTACTTTAATAATACATAAACATGTGATTGTGTATATTTACAAAAAATGATAAATCAATAATGAAATGTCACAAAGCAACAGTTCTAAAACAACATTTTCTAAAATGCAACAAGTAACCAATCTTACTGTTATTTAATATATGAGTAGATCTGAGTTATAGTCATGCTGACCATATGACCACAGAAATGTCTTCGCACAATGCTGGCTCCTTCGGCTAAGAAATGGAGATGAGTCCCACCCCTTAGAAACAACTAGACGGGGGAAACTTTTACCTTAAGATCTGAGCACTTCAATTACAGCAGCAGAGTACACCACTGAAAGTCCTGAAGGATCAGGATGGGGACAGATACACTTGGAGATGATTTATGTGGTCACTGAAGTCAATACCAACCTGATGGCACTTGAGTTCACCAAAATACATAATTATTTTTTTTACTCAAAATAAGAAAGATTACAAAAATACATTTCACTGAACAAAATACAGCCGGTATTCATATTTTAGCAAACTTTGAAACTTAGTTTCATTTATTAGTTTAGAATCCATTATGTACAGATGATTCAGTGTGGAATTCACTTTTCTTTCAATTTCTGGTAATATTTCTCGGCCTCTTTTCTACGATAAACATCATCTGCAAAATATTTGTGATAATTTCTATGAACTTTTTGAAAATACTTCATTTAACATTACATAATTCACTTGCAATGTTTCAAGCTTAAAATGATGGGTAATTCATGCAAGATCAAAAGTATAACAAGGAAATTACCACGGGCAACCTTATTTTATCATGAATTCCACAGTGTGGTGGAACAATATTGTCATTCTGACATACTTTTTAGCTAATATCCACTTCTCTTATTTAAGTAAAGTGGGATAGGTTTAATCTCAAACTTAAAAAACTTAAAATTAGGACTAATTTTGTTCTAAAAAATGCAAGATTTTAGAAATTTGTTTTCTGGTTTTTAGAATGGTCAGAACACCTCTATCTGCAACCATTTTGGTAGTTTTACATCTGTCTTCAAAATACAATTGGAAGATTACACAAATATTTTATTAACACTTAAGCTAAAAGTAAAACCATGTTTCTCCAGTGTGATTTGTAGTTTTCTCAGGAACAGTATGCCTGCCAATAGGTTTTAAGATGACACTGAATTTTTACTTTGAAATTTTAAATTAATTCCATTCTACTAATCTTATTAGAGCACTTGAGGCCTTTAATGCCAAGCAGAGTAACAGAATAACAGAGTGGGAAGTGACCTTGGAAGTCTTCTAGTCCAACCCCCTGCTCAGGCAGGAAACCGTGTATCATTTCAGACAAATTTCAGATAAATGGTTTGTCCAATCTCTTCTTAAAATCTTCCAGTGTTGGAGCACCCACAACTTCTGGAGGTAAGTCATTCCACCAATTAATTGTTCTAACTATCAAGAAATTTCTCCTTTGCTCTAGGTTGCATCTCTTGATTAGTTTTCATCCATTGATTTTTGTTCTGCCTGCAAGTGCCCCCTCCTCTTTGTGGCAGCCCCTTAGATATTGAAAGACTGCTATCATGTCACCCTAGTCCTTCTTTTGTTTAAACTAAACACAACCCATTCAAGCAACCATTCTTTATATGTTTTAGCCTCCAGGCCCCCAATCATCTTTGTTGCTCTTCTCTGTATATTTACCCATTGAAAGGTTACATTCTTCTTTTTTTAATAAAAGCTGAATATCAAATAAATTTGAATTTTTCAGTGTAATTATTAGGAAAGATATAGACATTAATATAGCATAATTAAGTCATGCATGCTTAAATATATAGAATTTATTTTAGAGTTTAATGATACTTACAAAAGGTCTGATTGCCGACTGGAACATTAATCATAAACCATTCCATAGCACCACCGAGAATGAAGTAGAAAGGAAGAAATCTGTAGATACCAAATCGTTTCTTTCCAGGTACTTTATTCATTAGATAAATTATTTTACTACTGACAGACATTTTAAGAAGAATTTAAGACTTGTCGTAAGAAGGTGATTCTGAAACACATTGAACAAAATTAATATTTCATGTATAAGGCTCTCCAAAATATGGTTAACCAAATGTATAAAAATATGAAAAGGAATAAAATTCAGTTTTATCTTTATGTATTTCACATCTGATTAAACCTGGACTCAAAGATACAAAACTAAAAAATGCAACATTATTACCTATAATATTAATAATAAATCTATTTAATTTATTGTGAATTAATCCAAAAACACAGATAGCAATAGCACTAAGACTTATATACTGCTTTACAGCCTCTAAGTGGTTTACATTGACAATTTATGAATTCTATCATTTTCACCTCCACTACTAAAATCTGTCCTCAGCATTCTTGGGGAATTAAGAATATGGGGTCCTTTGGTGCTCTGAGCTTAGTTGCTTTTTTGCAGGTATTTCATTACCCAACTTAGCAACATCGTCCTATCAGTATGTGATGGATATAATATAAAGACCTGACTTAAGATCATCCTATCTTGTTCAATGCCAGCTATTGAGGATCAACAACTTGCTAGAACCTAGAACTCTTCTGTAATGTTTGTTTTCGATGACCATTGATTTCAGCATACTGCAATATACAATTTGAAATGCAAAGAACTCTTAACATCAACTAATCTTGCAAGCATCCTAAATACCCAGTTTGCATTAGCAGTCCATCTCTAGATAAACCATGATTGCAGGACCAAGTATCTATTGATAACATTGATACTGCACTCATACATGTTTTGCTTCGTTTACGTTAATCTTTCACATCTTTCAGATACAGTTGTGAATAAGTTAAAACGATGCCATTCAGTTACCAATACCAAGGAAGCACCCAAAGTCAGTTAATGGCTAGTTTTAGGTAAAGGTTTTCCATCAGAGAACGCATTCCCAGGGTCTGAAAACCTTGCAAATTTGGTTTAGTGGTTAAGGCATCATAGAACAGAATAGAATTCTTTATTGGCCAAGTGTGATTGGACACACAAGGAATTTGTCTTGGTGCATACCTCTCGGTGTACATAGAAGATACCAGGCTAGAAAGCAAGAGACCATGAGTTCAAATCCCCTTACCCGTATTTGGGTGACCTTGGGCCAGTCACTCACTCTCAGCCCAACTCACCTCACAGGGTTGTTGTGGTGGGGGAAATAGGAGGAGGAAGATGTGTTGCATATGTTCGCCGCCTTGAGTTATTTGTAAAAATAATAAATGGGATATAAATAAATTCTGATTACTATAATCAAGGACCCGTACTCATACAGCAACGCGCTTTGCAAGGCAATGCTGCTTTCCACTCCCACCACTCTGTGGGATAGTGTCAATCAAAGAGGCTGGCCTCGATTCTAGCGCAGACCCAACACTCCCATTCCCAGCCGTCACCTTTAGGACTGAATAAGGGGTTGGGGGGGCGGAGGACGCGCAGGACAAGAGAGCAGAACGGGAAGAGCGGCCGCCCTCCCACGTGACCGCTACACATCAGCGTCTTCCGAAAGAGACTAGATGCTATTGGTTACGTCTTGTGCGTAGGGGGCGTGGCCCGCCCGTCTTTGAACGGAATGAGCGGAAGGGGTTTCCGCGCTGTGTTGCTGCTACGCCAGCTGCGATTCTCAAACTTTGGGCGCTAACGGCGTTCCTAAAGCCCCAGCAGGGGAAAGGAGGACCTGTAAATTGCTGCTCAGTTCAGTTGCAAAACCGGCCAGGCGAAACAGAATAACAGAGTTGGAAGGGACCTTGGAGGTCTTCTAGTCCAATCGGCTAGAAGCCTCTGACCGCCCCCCCCCCCCACTGTCGGAGCAGAAGTCAAGCAACCCAGCATCTTATTGTCTGCCAACATGTTTTGTAAACTATTGGGCAACTCAGTTCTATGCAGGATCAACTCAGCGAAGTAAGATCAGGTGTCTGTAAGATCACAGGAGCAGGCAGTCTGAATTGGCACAATTTTTAAATAAACCATTTGAAACATTAAAGAGAAAATAGAGCTTTCTATACGTGTTCTTTTTAATTCCTCCCGTTTGTCATTTTGCACCGAGCATTCTTATAAACGAAAACAGGTCCTTTTTTTCCAAAAAAAAAAAGGGGGGGGGGTTGTCTTGAAAACTTACTTTTTTTATACCTCTTATCCGAATAGGCACGGTTCAAAGGAATCGGAATCACGAAAGGAAAACACGCCCGCCCCCAAACATTTTAAATACCCTCGAGCCAAAGAGGACTAAAAGGATCTTGGGAGTCGTAGTTCTTGTCTGTGTCCCAACAATTCTGGGTAGGGGGGGAACCTCACAGGGGTGGTTGGGGGAGTGGACAACATAAAACAGAGGTCTGCAAACTTGGCAGCTTTAAGACTTGTGGACTTCAACTCCCAGAATTCTCCAGCCAGCTATAGCTGGCTGGAGAATTCTGGGAGTTGAAGTCCACAAGTCTTAAAGCTGCCAAGTTTGAAGACCTCTGACATAAAACGTTGAACAAACTACAAATCCCAAGTGGTCCAGAAGCGGCGGCAGCGGCACTGGTGCTTAGAAGTGCCTCCTCCTCCTTGGCAAGTCTTGGGCTGGAGCCCTGCAACCTTCTCTCATTGACTGCTTGCTGTCAGGCGGGTCGGATGGCCGAAGGAGCCAGTTGTTGTCCAGTCTGGCGGACGGTGCAGTTGAGGAAGGCATGTTGGAGGCTCTGAGATGACGGTCTGGTGAACTCATCTCAAAGGAAGAGCCTCTCCTCCCGTGGGGCCATGGCGGCGGCTGGACTCAAGGCTGCGAGCAGCGGCATATGGAAGAGCGTCGGCATCCTTCAACTGATGGTCCCTGTTTCCAGCCACAGCAGCTGCTGCTGCTATTATACAGGCTCCGACGCTGGGTCGGGGCGGGTGGGATGCAGGCACCAGTGGACCCATCAGCCCCAGTCTGAGGAGCATTGTCTCCCGCCGCGGGGCTCCTCTTCCATCGGCGGCAAAGCAAAGAGGACCGCCGACGTCGGTCCTGCTGTGACAGCTGCTTCCTTAGGCGGCCACCAGCCCAGCTCCATCGAAGGGATCGATACGAAGTCTTATCTCTGGGCCAGATACCACGAGATGAAAAAGCTGGTTTACGGTAAGAAGGGAGGGGAGCAGGGGGTTGGACTAGAACAGTGGTCACCAACTGGTGGTCCGTGGACCACTGGTGGTCCATGAGAAAATTGTGGTGGTCCACAGAAAAATTATTTGCATTTTTTTATATTGCACTAAATACTATTTATCTTTTTTTTTAAATTATATTAGTGGTCTGCGGAACTTAACATTATGAATTTAGTGGCCCTTGAGGTCCGAAAGGTTGGTGACCCCATGACTAGAAGACCTCAAGGTCCCTTCCAACTCTGTTATTCTATTCTAAGGGGGGAGCCTGGCTGTGCGAGTCTGATGCATTTCGTTGAAGACAACGAAATGCTGATGGATTAAAATTCCTCGGTGTACCTCTGGGAACTATTCAAACTCTTGTCCGGTTTGATCCCAAAAAGAAGGGTGAATGTATATCAAGCTGCATTATTTGCACAGCTTCAATTGTATAATTGGGTGGTTGCATCGTTCTGTGGTGGTCCTAAAGTGAAATGTTCAGTGTTTTATATAAGGCTAGTGAGGAAATACTCACATTACAAACCTGTTACCTGTGCATTGCGATGTGCATTGTTAATAGCATCTGCTGCTGCCAAACTAACGTATGCTAACTTATTCTCTTCTATTGGTAACTTATGCTAATTGTTAAGAGTAACTAAGCATGCCAAATTATAAAAGATGCTGCAAATTGGATTCTTCAGATTTTCTCCAAAAACAAGTTTGTGTTTGCTAATGACATACATGGGTACACTGATGGTTACGACTTTGAAATGGGAAACATTTTTAATCAACTCTTCCAATGTAATGTACACATTGCTTATCAGCTTACTAAAATTAGTAAGGTTGTGATCCCTTACATGTTTTGCTTCTGTTTTTTGTTAAAATTTAACTTCCTAAACTCCATGGACTTTTGTGTGTGTGTGTATCTGTTTTAAAATCTCTGTTGTGCATACTTTGTGAATTCTAGGTTGAGGGTTTGAAGTTGGCTATTCAGTTGCTTCCACATTTCAGTTGAGCTGAGTAATGAATATGCCAACATCAGTTGTTGAAAGCATTTAACACACATTTTCAACCATCTTAATTGGTTTAGTTTCTGGATGTAGTTCAAACTAATGTACTGGCATTGTACTTTCAAGGTTGAAAGTGGTTTGAGCTTGCTAACTTATAAGGCTTTCTCTCAGAACTACTTGTATGCTCATATCTCTAGAAAAAGGTGTGTTTCAAGCTGCCTTTCAAACTAAAGCAGGTTATTGTAAGTTGTTGGTTGCAGTGTTATCCTTATGAAACCCTTATATTCCTCTATTGGCTGACTAGCATCTTTCCAAGTCTGAACAAGTGAAATGTTGCTGCTGTATCAAAGGATCACTATCTCAACAATCTCAAAAGGCTCCTTAGCTTTAAAAAAATGGTCAAAAATTGTTTTAAAACTATAATAGATATTGGATGAACTGCTACTATGTTTCTCTCTAATGATAATAGGTCATTTTTATAATTAAAAAAATACATTGCAATTCTAATGTTTTTCTTTCTTTTTTTAATTTTAAAAAACAAACTTTATTCAATATAAAAAGATAAAAGATTATACAAAATGTTCTTGAACTCTAAAAAAGAAAGTACAATTCTAAATTACATATATACTAAAACTAACAAACAGGATTATCTATATTTGAACATATAAATATATATATACATTAACCTTGATTTCTTAATGACCGTGTTAATTTGTTACAATTACAATTCTAATGTTTTTCAAACGTTTGCCAGAATTCACTTGAAGGATTCCATTAATGTGAAATGGAATTTAGTAGATGACTTGAATATTTTTGTATGTTTGTTCCTGAAATGTAAACAAGATAACTTATTGGCAAGATTTTAAGTGGACAGTAGAACCAAATCTTGCCAAGATCTCAATATGAAGGAAATATTCCAATAAAATACATGATTATATGTATTTGCTACATAATTTGATAGGAAAAAACCAATTACTGTTTGATATTTTAACAAAGTCTCTATACCACTACTAGCATAGATAACCAACGGCAAAGAAATTATTTCATTGATACCTTTGCTAGATGGATGCAAGGAGGAAGGGAGAAAATGATTTTATTCTGTTTGTTCTCCTCCTGCTCCCCGATATTAACAGTAGGAAGTAATTATGCAATGTCTATTCCAGATCTGCTATGTCCTTCCTCTCCTGATACATATTTGCTATAAGATACTTGTAATTTAACTGTAACATAAGATGTAGCAATAGGTTGGAAGATTTCATTACCTAATACAGTTTTCCATTTGTGCTCTATTGATAGAAATGTTTTCTGAAGATGAGTAATTCTACTTCGTGGAATTTGTTTTTCATGAGACCACTTCAACTCTGAAACAGAATTACTTTTTAAAAAGTGTATCTTCCTAGTAAAGCCTTTTTGAGTATTCTGAGAAGCATTGTATTAACTCAAAAATTTGACATGTTGTGAAGTATATTTTTTTTCCACTCATCAATGTAGCTTGAAGCTAATTGCATTCACAGTATTTTTCTTTCTGCCCTTGAAAAATCAAGTTGTTCAATAATAATGGGATTTTGAGGTTATATAATAATTGTAGACAGAAACTAATAACATTCTTTGGTGCAATGAAATTTGCAATATAAATACCATCTTCCCAACTCTGACCTCTTAGCTAAGAAATGCAATACTTCTCATCCTCCCATTAGATATGTACTTGTAATAGAAAATGGATGAATGTATAAAGCTTGTAGAAAGCATTTACAAAGTAAGAATGGATGAAGGGATCATATTTTTACTGTACAGTAAACAACTATTACTAACATGTGTTCTTGAATAGTGAATATAACACTAGTCATATACATGGGTGACCTTGGACCAGTTCCCTCTCAGCCCTAGAAAGCAGGCAATGGAAACTGCAGGGATTAGTACAAGCAGTCACCAGGAGTCAACAAGAGAGAGGGAGTGGGGAGAGGGAAAGAGTTTTTTTTCTTTCATAGTGAACTAATCACCCAGTTGCAAAACTCTTGATCTTCACAGTGCAAAAGTGCAAAAATAACCGTTACATAATTCCAGAGTAACCCTGTAGCAAGGAAAATGCTTCCCATTTATTATAAAGCAATTCTAGAATCCTATATGTCAGTATTCAAGTGGCAACAATGAAGAATTCAGTTTACCTGATATTCCTATTCTCTCAAATAGGAAAGGCTAGGCTGTGTCTACATCATAACACACATACCCTTCGTTTAGCTTTGCAGGGTTTTATTTTATTTATTTATTTATTTATTGGTTCGATTTATATGCCGCCCTTTTCTGTAGACTCAGGGCGGCTTACAATGCGTTAAGCAATAGCCTTCATACTTTTGTATATACCTGCTTAGTAGGGCTTTCAGGGGCCCCCAAGCGGTGTTCTTTTTTATACAAAGTCAACTTATTGCCCCCACAATCTGGGTCCTCATTTTACCTACCTCGGAAGGATGGAAGGCTGAGTCAACCTTGAGCCTGGTGAGATTTGAACTTGCAGTAATTGCAGGCAGCTGGTGCTACTTAACAGTGCTTTAGTCTGCTGCGCCAGACTGTAAGTTAACCTGCAAGTTAACCAAACAAACATAAGATTCTAATTCATATAAACAATTTATATGGCTGCCCATCTCAAAACAGTGACTGGTAATTAGAATCTATATATACCTACAGGGGCACAAATATAGTTCACTACATGTAGAACATGCAGTTAGTGATCATAGATTCATAAGGCTGGAAGGGATCTCAGCAGTCTTCTAAACCAAATCCCTGCTCAAGGCAGGAGCCTTATATCATCCCAGTCAAGTGATTGTCCAGTCTATTTTTGAAAATCTTCAGTGATGCAGCACCCACAACCCCAGGAGTCAAGCTATTCCACTGATTAATTGCTTTTACTGTCAGAAAAAAAATTCTACTTACTTCTAGGTTGTATCTCTTTTTGACAAGCTTCCATCCATTACTTCGTGTTCTGCCGTTTGGTACTCTAAGGATAAGGGTAAGGTTCAGGGGTGAAATCCAATTTTTTTCCCTACCAGTTCTGTAGGCGTGGCTTGGTAGGCATGGCAGAGGAAGTGTCAGATGTAAATGCCTTATTCCCTAATGTGTAAATAATGTATATATGGGATATCAGGGTTTAACTTATTCTTTGACTCTTAATGTATTCATAATTCACCACTCCCACTCTTGGCTCCACCCTTTGTATATATAAGGAGCCACCTTCACCATTTTCTTCGCTTCTATCTGTGAATATTCAGTGAATATAGAATGCCTATTATAATTAAAGAGAAATATATTTAAACCTCTAACTCTCATTATTATTATTGAGTCTGATCCTAGAAATATTGCAACAAACTGGTAGCAGAGGATGGTTAATTGACTCAATAAATACCTAAAAATGTCTAAGAAAGATAGGCCCAACACCAGGGCCTACAGCAAAGAAATAGAAACTGAACAAGAAATAATCAACGAATCCACAAACGCGATTTCGAGAGAATCCGAAGAATACACCACTGAAGAAGAAGAATTAATAAATGAAAATGATGGCCAGGAGGAAATCGAAATAGAAAATAACGAACTCAGGTCAGAGATACTGAAGTTATTAAAAAGCCAGAAGAATGATGAAAGCCTCATCGCGAACCTCCAAGAAATGCTGAAGAACAGCGGAGCAGCGAGAGAGAAAAACATCGCTAAAGAGAAACCCAAAGACCAAAAAACTGTGAGTGATATGACTACAGAGAAAGTCGTTATGAAAAAGAAAAAATGTGATCCCGCGCGAAATTTTGAATGGCAGCCATCTTGGTTTCAACAAGCCTCCAAAGTGAGCGAAGCAGAGCCAATCAAAATGCTCAGTTCAAAATTTCTGGCGCGAAAAACGTTATCAGACAATGAAAGTGAAAAGGAGGATTCAAACTCTTCGGAAGAGCCAGAATCAGAAAATGAAGACGACTTAACGAAATCCCAAGTAAAGTCAGCAATGAAGACG